TGAGATATTTGTGCATTTGTTTATACCAATATTTAAAAGATAAAAATTCAGTCAGTTTCTTAGCTAGTAATTATAATTTTTTTTAAAATGTTCACCTCAGTTTTCACCTTACCTCATACCTTTTTGTTGAGTGTTCTTTGACATCAGGAACTTTCTAAATGTTCCATTAAACACATTAATGCTAATTAAGATTAATGCCAACTTTAAAGTATTGTGAACTTCTATAATCTGCTAAAACACTTTCTTAGTGATTTCTCCTCCCCAGAATCCACCAGCTCTATAGTTTTGGGTGAACATCAGAACACTGTGTGCGTGTGTGCATGCACTTGTGTGTGCGTGTGTGTGTGTGTGTGTACATGTGAGCCCATGTTTGAAAACTTGATTTAAAATTGCTGACAGTAATATAAGTTTTAAAACTGATTTTCCCAGGTACTGTTCAAGGAGGAGACAACTTCCAGATGGAAATGTCACAAGTAGGATTCAGCGCAGATTACTCTCCTCAAAATGTGTGTATATCTGATGATGTCAAGCCACGCTGTCATTTGGCATAACACTCCTGGACACAATAGCCTTATACATAAAGTAGGAAAAAAGGCCATCTAGTGACTGACAGTGCTGATTCCTAGTCACAGTCATTTAATTTCTTTGTGCTGCTTATATACCATCTTAGAAAATGAAGGTTAATAATTCCTTCCTTTCCCTATTCCAGAGGGATTTTGTATGGGAAAAAGAAGATAATATACAAGAAGGCCTTTGAGTGCTCCAGGGCACAGGCACTATGTTAATTCAAGGTATTATCCCTGCAAGAATTTTCTTTGAATCAATTAATTACTGGAAACATTTGTTAAAAACACAAACTCTTCTCATCACTGTCGTTGTTGAACTCTGAGTTGCTGTATTATCTTTTTCTAAGAGCAGAGACAGAAAATATTTGAAAAAGTAAGGAGTCAGGAAAAATTGTGAGATGGGGTCAGAGTGTACCTCATCTTCTTAGGTCAGGGAAGTCCATTCTTCTTCCTTAGGAACATCCCCCCCCCCCCCCAGACCTCCGATTCTAATTCTGCTCAGGATACAAGTGAGGTAGTGAAGGGAGCAAAGAGCTGTGAGACCCTGGGAAATACTGAGGGAACAATATGAACTCAGAGTGTTTGATCAGCAGATCAAAGGACAAAGAACAGTTCATTCTCTCTCTAGAATAAAGGGTGCTAACTTTTTCTGGATCACCAGTCTTTAGAGATGCTCATAATGATTATGGATCTTCCGCATAGGGAAAAAAAATGTAAATGGATGAGCACACAGAGAATTTTTCACACATTTTCTTGAGGTTTTCGTACATGCCCTGAAGCCCATTCATGCACCCCAGATTCAGAGTTCCTGATTTTATTACAGTTATTCACATAATTTCATGGCCACTTAACCTCAAAATGGGACACAGCACTTCCTTATTTGCTATGTCTTAATGGCTTATAATTTTTAATCTAAAATCATATCCTTGATGTTTTCTAAGATCAAAAACTTAAAAGTAACATCCCATCCTGGCCAAACCTGCCTTCTGCGATGAATTTATAGCTCTGAATATTCAGATTGGGTTTTGAGCCAATTCAGAGTAGCCTGTCCTCCTGGGCCCTCCCCAGTGCTGACCACTGGTTATTTCCCTTCCAGTAGGTTGAATGTCACAGCTGCAGGTGTCTTTTGTAGCTGTGCTATTACCAAATAGATGGGACAGGATATGGATGATAAAGGAACAGTTGACAAGGAGTTAAGAAGAAAGAGGAAAAAAGTTGAAAATAGAATAGGTCAGAAGAAGGTCTCGCAAGTCATGGCTGGGACAGCAGCAGCATCCCTGTCTTTCCTCTGTCATCAGCATTTCCCATTTCTCAAGCATGTCTCATATCCTGCTGGGAGCTTTTTTATGAATCTGAGAGACTGGAGGCTCACTGCTGCCTCCTTTCTGAAAAATCATAAGCATTCAGCATTTGCCACTGCATGCCTTTGAACAGAAATTTGAACATGGCATGTACCCATCCGGTACCACAGCTTATTACAAAGATTTATCTACAGAATATGTCATACTAAATAAATCCCAAGATAACATAGCCATGGGAATCCAGCAAAAATATATTAAAACAATTCTGAGCTTTATCAATATATATACATATGTATTTTACTTCAGCATGCTTAGCTTTTTTTCTTAAATCTAGACAGTTTATTACAATGTTTTGCATTCTTATGCTTTAAAGGTGATTTGTTTTAATAATCTTCATCTTTCAATTATTTTAGGATATTCTGATGCTGGGTGCAGTGGGAGCTTTTGGCTGGAGTGGGACTCTTGTGCAGGAGACATCTCATGGACATTTGACCTTTCCTAAACAAGCCTTTGACCAAATTCTGCAAGATAGAAATCACAGTTCATATTTAGGTAACGCACAGCAGTATTTGGCTCAAGCAAACTTACGTTCTGTTTCTTTGAACCAGCTCATTGTTGAATCTCAGAATCAGTGCAGCAAAGCCCTTGAATTGTCATCTAATGATCGTATATATTACAATTGGCCCTCCGTATCTGAGGGTTCCACATCTGCAGATTCAGCCAGCTGCAAATCAGAAATACTCAAGGGAAAAAAATAATAAAAAATAACCATTCAACAATAAAAAATAATGCAAATTTAAAAATACAGTGTAACAACTATTTACATAATATTCACATTGTATTGGTATTATAAGTAATTTAGAGATGATTTAAAGTATACAGGAGGATGTTCATAGATTACATGCAAATACTATATCATTTTATATCAGGGACTTGAAGATTTTGGTATTCACAGGTCCTGAAACCAATCCCCCAGTGGATATTGGGGTCAACTATATACATATATATGTTGCCTCTTTGCCAATCTGGCTTTAACCCATAACTACTTACTGAAACACTATGTTATATTCACTAATCTCTTCTGGCTTTTAAGCAATTGTAATTCCCGGATCATGATTGTGTTTCTTCAAAATGAAAACAATTTATAGAATCCAATACACTAAGTGGCAGCCACACTAGAGTTATTAGTCTTCTTTTTCTTATAAGTAGCCACTGATTTTTGAGTACCTACTATGGGACAGTTCCTGAGCTGGCTAATTTATCTAAATAAACATTTAAATCCTTCCAACAACCCTTTCAGAGCCATTTTACCTTTGAGAGCCAGTGAGGTTAATTTCTTGCCTAAAGTTAAACAACTTACTAAGTGGCAAGTTTAGAATTTGAACCTGGGGCTAACTCCAAGCCCTGTGTTTTTTTTCCACTGTACAACACTACCTTTTAAACTCAACTATTCATTCATTCAAGAAACTTTTGTTGAGTGCCAAGTTTATAGGTGGCTGATGAGGACAACCCAGAATCTAAGGCCAGCTTTGTAGGTAGGGGTCCCATCCATGGAGGAAAATGCTGCAGGTCAAAGACAGAAGCAATTTCTCTTAGAAAATGGAAGCCGTGCCCTTAGCAATATGCTCAGGAGCACTAGGAACTGTGCATCACATCTAACAAATAAGGACCTCTGATCATCTCTTCTAACTTTGCAAGCCTTATCTGGCTGAGATATTCGGTGGTGCTCATTCTGTGACTCCTCTCCTAGGTTATTCCGTGGCTGCAATTTCTACCGGAAAAAGTGTCCACTTTGTTGCTGGTGCTCCTCGGGCAAATTATACAGGCCAGATAGTGTTATACAGTGTTAACGAGAATGGCAATGTCACAGTTATTCAGTCTCACAGAGGTGACCAGGTAAATCTCATTGTTTAACATGTGTAATTAATTTTATGGACAAAGGGGCAGGTGGGAGTTGGATGGGCAGAAATGGAAAGTAACATTTACTGGGTGCCTACTCAATGATTGGCTCTGAAATCTGAGCTTATTTATATATTCCTTAAATTGTCACAATACTGAAAAGATCTACTGTCCCCTTTTGAAGGTTACTGAGAGTTTAGCCAGCTTTCTATGGTCATACAGCTTTAATTGATTGAACTGTCATTAAAACCCAATCCTGTCTGGCCTCAAAGCCTGGGCCGTTGGGTCACATCCTATTCATATTTTTGACTCCCCGAATTAATAATACATGGGTATGATTTAGTCATGACGGCAGGCACTTAACCACCACTTTGTAGGCAAGCCCACAATAGGAGCAAGGATCTGGAAGAGAAATAATGAGAAAAAGGGAACAGTATAACATTTTAAGGACTGAGCTTCTACATCTCAGCCTGTCAAGGGGTCCTGTTGGCTTTGACATTTCTAAAAGTAAAATGATAGCTCTTCTCCGCCATTTTCTAATGCTGTGTGACAATTTGGTAGTTAGGACCTATGATGAATCCCAGTTATTGCCCACATCAGCAAAAGCCTGTTGCTAGAGACTTCCTGTTTCCTTACTAAGTAGTTTTGACCCCTGGGCATGGCACATATTTGAAATGAGCTCCATTGATCCCTGACAACCAATATAACATGGTTTCCTTCTTTGAATTGGAGAAACTAACCACAGATTTCTCTTCTCTGGGATTCAGTCTGATTCTGCTGTTGCTATGGATTTTCTAGAAGTAAGACCTGAGTTCTTGACTTCCCTGACCACTAACTGTCTATGGTCACATACTCTTCCCTCCTCTTTAGTATTTTAAAGAAGGGTGTTTTTGTTTTGAGAATAACAGTGAAAGTGTTATGGAAGGAATCATTACTTATTCATTTCTGAATCCTTAAAAGGTGTTCACATAGGCATGCACTGAACATTGCTGAATGAGATGAACATTCCAGTTCCCAGCCTCTCTTATTTCACTTATCTCCACCTGGTCTTCCCATCCTGATCTATCCAGGAGCTACTCAGCTGTCCCAGTCCATGTCATGGACATGCACATCAGTCATGCTTTCCACTCCTCTGTATCTACAAAGCCCTTGTCCTCCTTAAGATGTAATTCAAATAATACTTCATCTTTCTAAGCCTTCCTGACTCCCTTGCAATCTGATCACCCAGCATTCTGGGGACTTGCCTCTACTACCATATATTTTACCATAGAAGCCCAATTATTTGTTCCCTCTGTCTCTACCCCTCCTGTCTTTCTCTACAACACATCTCACAGGCCTACTCAGGGTTTGTCTTGTAAGTGTGGTCTTTGGCCCACTGACATCAGATATAAGGACTTATTTAAAATGCTCTTTTCTGGATCACATCCTAGATGTTGCATCAGAATCTCTAGAAATGAGTCTCAGTCATCTGTATTTGTAAGACACTTTCTTGGTGATTCTTGGGCACAGTAAGGTTTAAGAACCAAATGTTGGGTGATGATACAACCTGAGGGAAGGGACTGTGTCATCCAACTTTATCTCCCTAACACTTTGTGGGCAATAAATACTCAATTTTTGTGTACTGAATGAGTAAAATTTCAGTGTAATATTAGGAGTATATGAATCCTAGGAACCCTAAAGCTAATATGCTTTATTACTTCAGATTGGCTCCTATTTAAGCTAATATGTTTTATTACTTCAGATTGGCTCCTATTTTGGTAGTGTGCTGTGTTCAGTTGATGTGGATAAGGACACCATTACAGATGTGCTCTTGGTAGGTGCACCAATGTATATGAATGACCTAAAGAAGGAGGAAGGAAGAGTCTACCTGTTTACTCTCACAAAGGTAAAAAAAAAAAAAAAAAAAAATTAAACTGACAGTTTAATTTGCTTTAGTATTAATCAATAAAAGTTAATCAGCATTTTGAAAGAAAATGTATGATTATTGAATCATAATTCATTTGCATATATAGTATAGTTTATATCATCATTTTTGAGGATGTCATCAAGTTATGATTTTAAAAATCACATTAGATTTTTATATATAAACTAGAGTTTAATGTGTAGTGTACTGCCATTTTCCACGAGAGATCTTTGAATATATATTGCAATAACAAATAAAGCATTATAGATGCACATCATTTTTTTTTAGTTTTAATTGTTATCCTAATTTTTGTAATTGATTATACATAGTCATGGAGTACAGAGCTGACAGTCAGCACCTATGATACACATCATTTTTGAAATACACAGAAACACACACACACACACATACACAAACATTTGTGTATTTCCCAAGTACTCATACAGTTTTTTGGTGTAAAATGATAACAGTGACAAGGTAATACTATCTTTGTATCATTTTACAGTGAGAAAGACAAATTGGACTAGGCACTTTGGAAACCTCCATATAATCCTGGATGCTTTCTACATTAGTTTCTCAGGAAATTCCATTGCTTAGTGTAACATGTAGGTATATGTCCAACTCTTGGAATTTCCAGTCCTTGCACAGTTTTTCCAGCTTGTAGATGGAACTCTCTAAATTCATGCATATAAGTATGGTGAACTCAGTGAAACCAGGGAGGAAAACTAAATTAAAGACACAGGTTGACATAAAAAATTAGATTACTATAGAGGAGAAAGGATGGAAAAGAGAAGCTGAAGTTAATACAGTAAAGATTATATTTAGTTGTGATATTTTGCCCTACCTTATTTATTTAAATTAATGTAAAAATTAACCTTTTAACAGAAGCAGTTAAAACAATTCTAAAGCAATTACACAGATAAAGAATGTATAATTGAGTATACAAGGAGGGAAGGACATATCTGCATGTTTGAAAATTTAACAAATGCCCAGTTTCTTAAATATTTCTTGCTTATAAAATATTCTAAGTTATTAATTGTTGAAGAAGAAAAGATCTCCTAATACCTTATAAAACTCAGGAACAAATTAATTTCCATAAGATTATGATAGGAGAGAAAAAAATCAACACTGATGGTTGATGAATCAACATGTCATGGTTGAGGCTCATTGCTTTCTCGTGAAGTCATAAAATATTTCCATACTTGATTACAAAATCCAAAGAAAAAACTGTATTTTACAAGAAAATGTCCTTTTCTTTGGGCAGAATTATTTAGTTATTCTTATAATGGGGTATTAACAATCTCATTTTTCACTTCCTATACCATTATAATAATGCCACTATTCAGTAATTTTTAAGTAAAGCTAAATTAAGATATTGTGTTTTATTTTCTTTTGTGTCTGCCTTAATTTCCTTCAAGATATTGGTAGATTTTCACCATTTTAAAATTTAAAATCACAAAGGTTTGCAAACAGGTGAAGATCCTAATACTGAGGGAAAAAGAAGACAAAGGAAGGGATACTTTTATGTAGGTCGTTCAGCTACAGTAAAAAGGATTACCTCCTTTCACCTTGGTTTATGAGCAGGTATCCTCTGGCCTTATGTACTGAAATTCTTACATTCACATCATAAGTAGAGAATATTGAATTTTAAGTTTAAAACCCTATTCACTTTTAACATACTGAAAATTGGTTTGGTCATCAATTGCTGTGAATTTTAACTATACAAGTTGTGAGGTTTACTGTAATCATCGTTTTTCCCCCTTGCAAGGGCCTGTTGAGTCAGCACCATTTTCTTGAAGGCCCCGACAGCATTGAAAATGCTCGGTTTGGCTCAGCGATTGCAGCTCTTTCTGACATCAACATGGACGGCTTTAATGATGTGATTGTTGGTTCACCGTTAGAAAATCAGAACTCTGGAGCTGTGTACGTTTACAATGGTCATCAAGACACCATTCGCATGAAGTATTCCCAGGTAACTCATGAGTGGCATGGTGATGTGTTTACATGTGTATATCATCATGTTAAGCTAGAGATTATCACGTAGGCCATCCAATCCAGCCCCTTTATTTTATAACTTCATTCATTCACTCAAAAAATATTTAGTGAGCTTTTACTATGTGCCACGCACTGCTCTAGAACCTGGAGATGCCATAAAGAAGAGGATAGATGAAATTCTGCCCTTTGTGGACCTTATATTACAATGGAGGAGACAGATATAAAAAAGAGGTAAATAACATAAAGTGTTCCAGATAGTAATAACGGCTAAAGAATAAAAAGAAAAATAAAACAGGGAATAAAATTTCAGGGATGGGAATTATCAGGTGGTTGAAAGGGTGACTAAGGAGGCATCACTGAAAAGGGTGAGACCTGAGGGAAGTCAGACCTGAAGGAAGAGAGCTAGGACAGGAATCAGGACCTGAACTGCACCAACTCATTTCTAGTCCACCAATCTTTCACTGTTTTGTGCTGATTTGTGATTTTATGTTAAAGATCCATGCTGTTTCCTTGAAAATGTGGCTGTAAGAGTGATACAAAGGTCAGATAATATGACTGAAAAACCAATGGAATTTTGTGGAGAATAAAAACAACCTGAAAAGCGACTAGATAGACAATATGATAATGCAATGCAGAGCCTGCTACTTTCTTGTTTCAGTTGTTGTGCACTACAATTTCATGTCAAACTCGCTTTCTTAGAAAATCTTGGGATCCGATGGAGCCTTTAGGAGCCATCTTCAGTACTTTGGGAGATCCTTGGATGGCTATGGAGACTTAAATGGGGATTCCATCACCGATGTGTCCATTGGTGCCTTCGGACAAGTGGTTCAACTCTGGTGAGTCAGTGAGACCCAGACACAAACTAGCTAATGAGAAATGACCTGCTAAGAAGTGGAATAGACTGCTGTGCTGGTGTTGTAGAAATGCACGTGCATTATGTAAGACTCTAGGGAATTTATGTGTCATAGTTTGCCAAAAAGGAAGGAATATGTTTTTCCCAGTAGAAAAAATATATGTATTAATTTAACATTAAAATCAAATTTCTCTTCTCTATATGGTGAAAAAGTGTGTAGAAAAGACAAAGCCCTTGAAAAAATAACCGGGTTATTTCTGAACGTTATGTTTCTATAAACAGCCTTATTTCAGCTTACAGAAAGGAAGAAGCCGTATGAGAGTGCATGAAAATACTGACATTCAGACCACATAAATAAAATGTAACTCTTATGTGGTTAAAAGCTATATTTTAATTATTAGTCATAAAGCAAGAAACCATTATTTAGATTAAGCTGACCTCTCACTGACCTCCATAGGAGTTGAAGATCGGTGGAACAATAGGGATTCAAAGGCCATTTAATTCAAGGTCAAAAAATAAGTATACTGTACTGGTAAGGGAATGCAATCAGAAAGAAATTGATTATTTGATCAAGAGTCTCCATTCATTCATTTGTCTCTGTTGGAAAGTGTGCTTTAAATGTCCAAATATATCAAGAACATAAAAACATTATTCATTGATGTATTATGATTTTGAGTTTAATGATACAAATTTCACTTGTGTTTTAAAGAATGAAAGGCATTATTTTTATTACAGAATGAAATCTTATGTGGAAAAATGAAACGCAAGGACTTTGAAAAACAGGAAAATATATTTACTAAATAAAATCAGTTATAATCACTTGAGAGTAGCATACCAAGAGTAAATACAAGGTGTCATATAATTATATGGCTGATTTTTAAACAATTTTATAAGAAATCTACCTCTCAGTGAACATCACCTTGTGGCCATCTTGGTAGACTTCAGACTTGGTAGGCTATTACTAACTGTACGGTGACACTCCTTTTTAATACAGTCAGTGATGGCCAGACTTTTTCTCTGATTCTTCAAAAAAGTCAAGACACATGGAGTCAAATCCAGGTACTGAGATGATCAGTATAAAGCTAATGCCATTTCATGATCACATTCCTATAAGTTCCTGAGACTGGTCTTCCTGGGTAAAGCCTTGAAAATAATATTTTTTTAAAAAAGTTTATAGATATGTAAAATAATGGCATCTCTATTGGAATAAGTGCTCAGTCTCTCTAAGAGATTGCCTTAAAGAAAACATTCACTTAGGTGTTTTAGATCTTGCAAGTTTGGGGACATGTTGCACTTGTTATTTGATGTTTTGTGAGTGCTTATTAGGGGGCCTGATAGATACATGATTAACTATTAAACTAATTTTTCAATTGACTAAAGTCCTTCAGGTGGTACCCAAAATGAAAAGAAAATGTTTTCTGTACCTTCTTGTGGCACTTTTCAAAGCAGTAAAATTACTAATTACTGCATGCTGCTTTGTAAATAGTTGAGGGTGCACATGGAGTCATGATGATAAGTACAAATTCACTGGCAGAGGAATTAGGAGACCATAAGTTCTAATTTCTCACTGGCTATTACTCAGTAAACCGATAAGTCACTAACTTTGTGTTTCAGACGTTTTCATTGATAAAATGAAGATAATATTTGTTCTACCTATTTCACAGAAGCATTGTAGGGAGTAAATGAGGCTATGTGTCAGATATCTAAAGGGCCAAGCCATTGTCAGAAATCTATAGTGCCCTGCCTGAGATGGACTCTTCAGCTGTTGTCTGGCATCAGGCTGGTTGCCACTATCATAGCCATATGCCACGCTTGAAAGGATCACTGCCAGCCACTGAGGCAGCAGAGAAACAGCCAGGACCACACTCCTCTGCCCGGCCACCCCTACCTCCACCCGCTTTGTTCCCTAACTTCACTGCTTCCAGATGTCAAAACACAACAGATCATGACTTTGCACTTGACTCGCACAGAGCTTGCAAACTCCCATCCTGTGCTCATGTATGTGTTCATTTAATTAAAAATATGGAATGTGGATTGTGCTGCTGATGCAGTCACAAACGAAAAAGACACTATCCCTGCCTGCCATCTTAGAGCCTTCAAATATAAAATTCTGCTAAAGTGCTTAGATAGAGAGTAGAGAGGAATATTTGATAATGCTGGCACTGGGTCCTCCATGTAAAGGTTGTAATATGTGTGCTCGTTAATGATGTCCATTTATCTGTTTCCTTTTATGTCTTTCAGGTCACAAAGTATTGCTGATGTGGCTGTAGAAGCTTCATTCACACCAGAAAAAATCACTTTGTTCAACAAGAACGCTCAGATAATCCTCAAACTCTGTTTAAGCGCAAAATTTAGACCTACTAGGCAAAACAATCAAGTGGGTACGTAGACCTGAAATAACCTGTACAGAGATAGGTTTGCTTATAGAATTTTAGCCCTGAATATAACCTACATTTTGGTTTGTATAGCAAACCAAATAGCATCTTTGTATAGCATCTTTATTTACCGATGCCTAAATTGCCATACATTTGTGGTGCCCAAAAATGGTTCATTATGCATGGAAGGATTGTGTAGATAATATTCCTCTCTCATCTCTAGAAGGCGACTTCTGTTGTAGAAAGTTGTAATCTTCACGACATACTTATGGGCTCTCCCAACTCTATCCTTGGAGTTTTTCTTCCTCTCAGTTCCCTTAACTTAAAACCTTCAGCTCACACAGATTACACTGGACTGCTTATCATAAACAAGTGTGCAATATGTTAGTTATGCCGTGGTCTAGATACGGTGTGTTCAGTAAAATTATCAAGTATTGTTCTTGTTCTTGAGGAATTAATAAGCATGAAATAGTGAAAGAAAAATGGAAAGCAATGTATGATATGTGCCCAGTGTTTTAAATTTTCTAAATAATACAGAGAAGTGAGTGAAAGTCTCAACTATGTCCCATCAGATGAGGAGTCGGGTGTAGGGGGCAAGGAAGTGAGGAAAACACTGTGGGCAAATGTCAGCAGGAAGTGTCGTCTTGTCCTCTCTCACTCAGGCTGGCCAAGTCATCTTCTATGACCGGCTGAAGTCCTGCCTACTTCTGAAGCCTTTTCTAACCACTCTGTCTCACCGTCACCTCCCCTGCTCCAATTATGTCAGTGCCCTCCATACATACCGCACAATGTGACACTTGACTCAAAGCTATCTTCTTTCATTTGCTGCCGTTTCATGGGTCCTAATCCCCCTTCCATCAGATTTTGGCTCTAAATTTCAAAACCTGTAGTTCCTACAGGTATTTAATTAATTAGTAAACAAACTAACATAAAGGCTGAAAATATAGAGGTAGGTTATTTGCCACAATTCATACCAAGATATAAATAAGGTAAGAACACAGGGCAGAATATAGATTCACATCTTGGCACACTTTTCATATTTTCCTACTTTTCATATCCATCTGGAAGTTTTCCAGGCATTCAAACATTGACCCAACTCTGAGTAGCGTATCTCACGGACCTGCCTCATAGCACATCCATCTGAGTAGCCATGATAGTTAAGTCAAATCCCGTTGCTGTCTAAACATTAAGTGGCTAGTCTGTCTAAAAGATTAACTTGGAAAATATATTAGTTGGCAGAAACGGCTGGCTGGTCAGCTCTTCTGGACCTGAAGCACGAATGTGTCTCATGTATCTTCTACTTTTTGACTGTACTTCAAACCCTTCTGCTGCCCCCCACTCAAACATTCTACTTTCAGAGATTTTCCTTCCCATCGAATGGCTGCCATGGGTCCCTGGGCTTTCTTACTCTTGGGCTCCCTTTCTTTTAATCTTTTTCCCTGATGCCTTCAGGTCCACACAGACAAGCCAGTGAGGGTCATTCATCACTTCATTGCTTGGCAACAACAGTGTGTAAGACTGCATCCCATCTTCACAACTGTGAAAAGGGAATTGAGAAAGCATATGGTTTCTATTATTTATTGCATCAGGTGTACACTCCAGTTTAAGGTTAATAGCATAAAAAATTGATATATTGCCCATTTGACTATATATCATTTTACCAAGCTGCTTAAAAAAAATAACAGTATTTAACATGTATACTTTGTCCTAACTGGGGTCACCTCCCCACTAGTGTTTCCTTCGTATCATTCTCACCACTTACTTTTAGCTCATTTGATTCTTTTATATTTTATCTATCACTGTTGGCCTCAAGTCATTAAAGCAAGAAAAATTATACAACATCTCTACTAGATATTTTAAAGGTAACATGTAACATTAATGTTTTTGGAAGTATATTTAACTTTTAAAAAACTGAAAGTAATAAAATAACACAGATTAACTCCAAATAAGGCAGTTGGTGCTATGAATAGCACCAGATATTCTCTCTCAATTTTGGACGTGTGGCTGATGGACTTTAGGTGAAGGTAGTAGTTCTGATAGTTTGGACACTGGCTACTGACATCAGCTTTTATCCCATTTTTATTTTCATTGTCACTTCCCTGAGTGGTTATTATTATCTCTCTTCTATAGAAGAGGAAACAGAGGTTTAAAGAATTTAAGTAAATCACCCAAAGTCACAGAGCTCCTAAACCGTGGAATTAGCATTCAAACCAAGTCTGCCTGATTCAGCCCTAATTGCAGTAATGTTGCATGCCTTTCCCTCTGGAAGCATCTAGAAAGTGCCAGCACTGTACATGTTCCCCTAGAGTTTCTCAGTCAATCCTCAGAATAACAGTTTGCATGGAAACAGAACTTACAACTTCATGGAAACAGAAAGAATATAGGGTCTTATTTCAAAAATACCCAAATTTTATTTCTGACCATGTCCTAGCTCTGTGAACTAAGGGTGAAGTATTTTATCTCTTTTATTTTAATTCATTATCTGAAAAATAGGATAATGATATTCACTCACCAGGTTTATTGTAAAAGTTGTAGAAGTTAACCTGTGAGAATGTGTTGGATTGTAGCCACTCAGTAACTGTTCCTTTCCTCCCTGTAATTTCATGTTATGGATGATGAAGCCAGGGCTTGAGGGAGTGAGTCCTGTGCCTAAGCCCATCCAGTAGGTTTCTTGGTGGCAAGCCTAATTTTCTTCCCACTGCACCAAGCCACATTTCTCAGAATCCTATTTCTTATATATCACCTACATCCTATCAAATCTGGAATTACAAATGCCATGTGGTGGTGTCAATGGTTCCCAGTCCACCAGTGTAAATTCTGTTCTCGTGTTTTCTTGAAGTCAGAGACTTTCCAATAAGGCACAATAAAGCAGGAATTTTTCTTTTAAGTTCATTCGTAATAACATTTCTTTATAATATTTATCATAGCCATTGTGTATAACATCACACTTGATGCAGATGGATTTTCATCCAGAGTAACCTCAAGGGGTTTGTTTAAAGAAAACAATGAAAGGTACCTGAAGAAGAATATGATAGTAAATCAAGCACAGAGTTGCTCTGAGCACATCATTCACATACAGGTGAGGCCTCAGCATCATACCTTTTCAAATCCTTTCCCCTCAAGGACCAATGAATGGTGAAAGTCTAAAATGGAAGCTTATGAGTTAGAAAATACTTGCCCTTCTAATTAATGCCTTTCTTGTCTAATTCCGTGAACAGGAACCATATTTCTTTTATGCTAGTACTTATGGTCACATTCTATTACTACATAAGTTAGTAGCATTAAATTTTATTTGTAATTGTAACTAGAAAGACTAAAAGTAAGACTCTTTGAAAAATCAAAGATACAGTACTTTTTAAAATATTTAAGAGGGAAAACTTTCAGCTGGCAATAAATTTAATTTTGACATTTTCCTGTTGGTGAAAATTTTATTTATATTTAAGCTACTCAAAAGGATAATTTCAGTCGTGGTTTTCACTATTGAATTTAAGTGAACATAGGTGAAGGATGGTGGATTATGAGGTAAAAATTATTTGTTCTAATCTTATGTCATAGTAACTATAGTTCACATTGATTTTGAAAGTCTCCCAAGTAGGAAAAATGCTTCTCAGGAGAAACCTTGCAACAGGAAATTTATTTTATAAGTTATATGAATATTTCCCCTCAGAAACCACATAATGATATTTGAGAGTATAATTTACTCAGGAAACCACTTTAAGAGCTGTCTGAGTACTTTCCTAGAATATGGTTCTCAGAGTTTAAGGTGCAAAAGAATTGGTAAGGAAACATAAAATGCATATTCTGGGTCCCACCACCAGAAGTCTAGGTTTGAAGGTCCAAGGAATATGCAACTTTAGGGGGCACCCCAGATAGTTCTGATGTGAATGAATGGTACAGAGATCACACTTCAGGAAATGCTAAGGGTAGGAGTTGGAAAAACATAAAGTCAGTGGTTAGATGGATTAGAATTAGCTGAGTTGTTTAATTGTTCAATTTGAAGATTTCTTGTTTGTGAGGCCTGGACTTATTTTTCTGTTAAGGTGCCAATTATACAGATTCTTTAAAGGAAAAAAAAAAAAAGCTGTCTGCTAAGTGGTGGATGAAATTACACACGTTATCCTTAGCAGCAGAATGAAGACAGCCAGGCTGTTCTTTTTAAAAAAATCCTATCTACTATTTGATGTCAATGCCAGTTAAAGTTTGTCCTACGTGCCAAGCCTACAGCCAGCTGAAGAAACATTTCCTTGGGGTCAGGGAGCTGTCCTAGTAGACAGGCCCCCAGAAGGGCTCATGACTCAGGAGTAAGTCCTGCCTGTGAATGGACTAACTAGAAGTGAAGATACAGCTCTAAAAAGAAGGCAGATTAGAAGTTTAGGGTTTATCATTTGTGTAGCCATGGCTCTTGACTGACCAGAACTGGGAAGAGGTTTGTAAGCAGATTGCTAAATGACTTTAGCAACCCTGTTTTGGCATTTTTACATTTTTCATTAGACAGGAAGTCTCAAAAACTAGAAAGGCCTTGTGCCTCTTGGAATGCAGGAAATCCTCTACCCTCTATACTAGAGGCAAAGTGGAGAAGTTGTACTTGAAGCTGGGCAGGGTTGGCTTTAATGACTGCTGAGGGAAATGTGTCATTCTGTATGTGCAGGGGGCAATGCAGGTCCTAACAGCCAACGTCGGGGAGCGTGATGGAGGCTGTGGAAATCACTTTATCTGGTTTTGTAGAGAACAGTCACAGTCTGACTAAGGAAGAGCTGCTTCTCGTCCATTACCTGACAGCCAGCCTTGGGCCCCTGCCCTTCCACGTCATAATATTTCCTTTCAGAGATTTGGTCAGGACACCTAAAAACTCTTAAGTTTTGGCTATAGGAATTGGAAGGATGTAGCCAACAACCTAAGAGCCAGGTACTGACACAGGAGTCTTTTGAGCATCAAAACTGGACATATCATCTAAATATTTACAATTACTTGTGTACAAATAATGAGAATATGAAAGAGCTTAACTAAGAATTGCTACTTCAGATTTTTACTGGACCCAAGTCTCTTTAAGTTTCTTGGTAGTAGGGAGGCTAAAAACAGAATTAGGACAGAAGAGAAGAAGCAAGAGTCTTGATCATTCAAAACAAGAATATTCTACATAATTGAGAGTTAACCATGGTCTCAATTGCAAACATATTTGTGTAAATTTCTTGTTTTAAATCTGCGATGCCCCAGTAAACTGACTCGTGTGTGTGTGTGTGTGTGTGTGTGTGTGTGTGTGTGTGTGTGTGTATTTAGAAGCCCTCTGATGTTGTCAACCCTTTGGATCTGCGTGTGGACATCAGCCTGGAAAACCCTGGCACCAGCCCTGCCCTTGAAGCCTATTCTGATACTGCCAAGGCCTTCAGCGTAAGTGTGGCTTCCCCTTCCTGGATTTAGACTGACTAACAAAGTCATAGTCACTGCAGTAGTTTTTGAAAGATACTTAGGACATAGCCTTTAAATTCTTAGATTTCTAAATGAATTACAATTACACATGTATAGAGTTCACTGGTACATAAGTTCCATGAGGGCAGGGATTTTTGTCTTTCTTTTTCACTGCTCTATTTTCTGCTCTTAGAGAGTGCCTGACCCACTGCAAGTGTTCAAAAAATGTGTTGAAGAAATAAATAAAAATAAAGCAAACACCTTGTGCTCACCACCCACTTAAAAAATAAAAAATTGCTAATACATATAAAGCTCATATCCATCTTCATCCAGCTCCCCCTAGGCAAATCATTATCGTGAACTTTGTGTTAATGAATATTCCTAAAACATTGTTTGGTTTTGCATGGTTTTGAACTTCATATAAATGGAATAATAGTGTATGTATTCTTTTGCAATTGGCTTTTTTAATCCGAAACAAATATATTGATTTGTTTTCCTTTCTTGCAGATCCCTTTCCATAAAGACTGTGGTGATGATGGACTTTGCATCTCTGATCTAGTTCTAAGTGTCCAACAGCTGCCACCTGCTCAGTAAGTTTTACTTTATTTTTTATTTATTTATTTATTATTTTTTTTGAGACTGGCGGCACCGTGCTCAGCCAGTGAGCACAGTGGCCGTCCCTATATAGGATCCGAACCCACGGCGGGAGTGCTGCTGCGCTCCCAGTGCCACACTCTCCCGAGTGCGCCACGGGCTCGGCCCAGTAAGTTTTACTTTAAAGCTCAGAATAAAAGATAAAAGATAAAAGATAAAAAATAAAAGATACTCTAGATTACTTTATTACTTATTAAATGAGTGTTTAAGGAGTTTTTTTTTTCTACAAATGAAACATTCTTGACTGGTAAAGACCTTTAAAAACTAAATTTCTATTTCTACACTGCACAAAGGAGTAAAACAATAAGAAATATAAAATTATTTGTATTTGAATGGTTCTTTTCCCTGCATGTAATTAAAAGCAGCAAAGAAAATCCAATAGCTTTTTCTTATTTATTGTGTCAGTATCATTTTAATTTGAAGATAGTTTATTATTAAGCAATTTTCTCAGTATTCCAAATACTCATAGGTCTAAAGAGTTTACAAATGAGTGGAGTTTATGAACTGGCCTTTTACTTTAATGACTTTTTCCCCTCCTTTTTACTTTTAACAGAGAACAACCCTTTATTGTCAGCAATCAAAACAAAAGGTTAACATTTTCAGTAACACTGAAAAACAAAAGGGAAAGTGCATACAACACTGGAATTGTTGTTGACTTTTCAGAAAACTTGTTTTTTGCTTCATTTTCCATGCCGGTATGTGATGACAGCACCGTTGCATTTCCTTCTCATTATCAATTACTGTCTTCTTTATGCTCAATCTCCACTCTTCCTAGTTGTCTGAATCCTGCATGAAGAAGCACCTTGATTGGTCTTAACTTGGTGGCTTCCAACTAGTTAAACCACATGAACATTGTCTGGCTCTGTATCTAGGCCAATTGTGCTTCACATCTTGGGTCAGTTTTTGCTTTCCCTGAGATTTGGCAGCAGTAGCTAGACACTCCTGTAACTCTTCTCGAGCCTTCTGTGTGCCAGGTGGCTGTGGTTTGCACAGATGCAGAGCACTTGCTCTGGGACGTTTGAATCCTACAGCTGAGCCCAAGCTTTGTGACCACAGCTCTTGCTGCTGCCAAGACGATGCATTCCAGCAAAGCCAGTTGATCACATAGACTTGATCACTGTACCAGGAACATACTTGACCATGAGTGCCCCGGTCCCTCATCTACCACCAACCAGTGAAGAGACAAGAGGAGAAAAGGAAAAGCTGAGATTTTCCAAATGAGCTACTTGAAGACAGGATTAAAAAATGGTTTCATCCAGTTTAAAGTTAAACTGAACTTAATAGATTTAGAGTTCTAAACCTATCCTGACCTCAGTGTTTAAACATCCTGTGCCAAATGGCAAGTTCTCATTTTAAAACGAAAAAACCTAAGGAAAACTAAAACAAATTCTTTAATTATTTAAAATACAGATAACACCAATATATGATTCTGTTTTCTTCTCTTGAAAATATAAATCTCAAATATTTTGAGAGAAACATATGTACAAAAGACAGTATTTTTGAATATTGGATTAAAACTAATTATGCTTCTAAAATATGAGAACTTTGATTCCCTTTTGGGAAAAAAATTCCAGTATCTAATCTCTTCTTCAGCTTGTTGGGTGTCCTGCTTATCTTTGGGGTTAGCAATAAATATAGTATGTTAGCCACCCAGATAGTGCAATATTTTCAAGTCTTGAGGGACAATAAGCTATTTCATTGTGAACCAACCTTACTGCTAAAATGTCCCTGTACATCTTTCAATATGTTGTGCAGACGCCTGCATTATATACTGACTGATCATTGTTGTTTCCTTTGTCTTGTTCAGATTGATGGCACAGAAGTCACATGCCAGGTTGCTTCATCTCAGAAGTCTGTTACCTGCGATGTAGGCTACCCTGCTTTAAAGAGAGAACAGCAGGTACAACTTTTATTTCATCCTCAAATCCATGCTAGCCTTGCTTCAGCACACAGGTTAATTTACCAACATAACTTTTATTAGGTATCATCATTTCATAGACATCACAAAATAACTGGCTGCATATTTAGAGGAATTTTTTCCTTAAATTATAAACAAAAGTAAAATTTCCCTCATGCAGTTCATTCTAAAAAGCACACAATATGGAAAGTTCTTTTTGTCAGAATATATTGACCAACATTGGTAAAAGTGCTGTGCACAGAGTCACAGAGGTCATTTGTTAATCCCTGGCAAGCAAGTTTCACATCAGCACAAAGCTCTTAAATTCAGACAAGAACATGTACCTGGAGAACTTACATGAATCAGTTGAAAGTTAAGCTCTCCTAATTCTAAAGTGAGGCATGCTACAGAAAAAGGAAGAAAGAGATATTCTACCAATTTGAAAGCTTAAGGTATATAAAATTCAGAATCAAACTGGAGCAAGTTTACTTTTATGAAAAAATTTTTTTTCATGTTGACCCCTATAGATTGATAAATTTCAATTTTGTGTATAGGTGACTTTTACTATTAACTTCGACTTCAATCTTCAAAACCTTCAAAATCAGGCATCTCTCAGTTTCCAAGCCTTAAGGTAATATATAATGAAGTCATATTGATGAGGGATTTTTTTATATTTATTTTTAAGTAATTTTCTAATGTTTGTTTCAATAGTGAAAGCCAGGAAGAAAACAAAGCAGATAATTTGGTCAACCTCAAAATTCCTCTTCTGTATGATGCCGAAATTCACTTAACAAGGTAGGTGAAGCAGTGCGTAGCCTCTAATCATTGACACCACTCTGGTTTATAACACATTTGGTTCTGTTTACTCATTCTTAACTGAAGAATTTGGATTAAAATATTTCCCCCTTGTCAACTACAATAGACGTCCACAAACAACTTATTCTCTAAGAAAACCTTGTCCAGCTCTTGAGATTTATTGACTGAGAGCAGCACCAGAAAGGCAGAGGAATAACCCTCTTGCCACATGCCATGGGGAAACTCCTCTGCAGGCCCTCCCAAGCAGGAACTGCAGACCTCCCCAAAATGTTGAAACAGAAGTCTTAAGGGCCCTGAGAGGTGCCAGCACTTTCTTCTCACTGCCTGCTTTCTACAGTGCACATAAGAGCTCAAGCAATATCCCTATTCCTGGACATTCAAGCCCCAAGCACAATGCTTTGCACATAGTAGGTCCACAACAAATACAAATCTAGTCACAGACTGTCTGATCAGATATTGAAACTAGATCAAGTCTATCATGAATTGTTCAGAGGGACAGGTGTCTTGGGAAGTAGGTAATATGCAAATACCACAGGTGCCAGTAGGTTGACATCACCTTCACTCACACTTAGAAGTGAGGCAAGGTCATGGTAGAGATGCAGTGGAGCACAGCTATGCAGGTGCACGGGCTGCAGGGGATGCCCACCTCCAAGCCTGGGAAGCAGAGTTTTCTACCTATTGCTTCCCAGCCCAGACCAATGACCCCTGAAAGACACACGGCAGTGTTTTCCCAAGAAGTTCCGTGACAGATGGTTTCTCTAACTCCCATCACATCACCCCAGCCCCTAAAAGCATGGAATTTGTAGATCATCCAATAGATCGCTGAAGAAAAACAAAATGGAAAATATGTCTTCATGTCTAGAGCTTGAGACACATGAGAAAAGATGAAAAGAATGCTTCTGTTCAAGTGAGTTGCAAACAGCACAACCAGAAATTAAATATAGTCCAAATCATCCATCCCTGAAAAACTCATCAGTAACAGCAGCTTCCAAAGGACCCCCACTTGCTAACATAAGTAATTGAAGACAAATGCAAGCAAAGAGATTGATATTACCACATTACCTAAATATTTTTCTTCTTACTTACATTGATGTTTTTCTTCTCCTAAACATTTTTAGTTAATACAGCCTTTTTATCATTCCACTCTCCCACCATGGCCAATTTTTTCATATATTTTCACAAGAAATAAATATAAGATTGAAATGGGACTTCACTGTCACTAATTAACATCTTAGCTATGTATTTTTAGGATGGTAACTTGAATTTTAATATATTCTAATGTTCTTTCAAATACATCATGTAGTTTTTAACAATGTATCGTGGAGAATTATAAAGAACAAAAGCTAAAGTGGCCCCTAATCCTACCTTCCAGAAAACCCAAATATTAAGAAAGATACACAATGAGAAGTGAAGTTGTCCCTCCCCACCTTCCCTGGTGCCACTCTCCATAGAATAATAACTAGACAGTTTTCATAAAATCTTCCAGATACGGGGTTTGCTTATCTGCCAGGCTCTATGCGTGTAACATACACACACATGCACACACACAAACGTGCACACACACATTTTACTTACCCAAAAGGAATGATAAAATATTCTTCTGCATCTTGCTTTTTATGTACTCTTAGAGAAGTTTTCATATCAGGACATACATATCTAACTTATTCTAGTCCTGGCTGGATCATAATTCATGTGAACTAATCCAATATTAATGAGATATTTGGTTGTTTTGCATTTTTGTTTAACTATCACAAGCGATGCTGCAAAAAAAATCTTTTAACAAATATCTTTGCAAATGTTTGGAAAAAAGCTCTACCCAGTTACTGAATGTATCCCTTAGCAACAACTTTTGTACTATATAATTGTGTAGTTATATTCCACAAATATGATGGGTGGAAATAGATAGTATTATTTCTGAAACAGGGTGCTCCTGAGTATGGCTAACTGCTATTACAAATGTATTGACCAACACTTAAGTAACTGAAGGAACACTTTAAGTAAAAAGTGGAAAAATGTCAGATCTCTTTAAAAAGCAAAAGCAGAACATATTTATCAATTTAGAAATTGGCCCTATTTAGGGGTTCACACAAAGCTCTGGAAGGCACAGGGAATAATTCATGCATGCACAGCCAGGCTTTCTGTTTCAAATCTTACTCAGTTTTCCCATTTTCCATGTAAGGCTGATAAATCATTGTTTCCTCTCATATACATAACCTTGACAAATACCACATCTATTCAAGTCTCCCTATGACATATTTTCCTTTTGAGGATTTGGAAAAAGTTTTTTTTAGGCATAAAAAAGAGAAAGACAAGCTTTCAGTAAAGAAATTTTTTTAAAAATTCTATTTCAGAAAATATCCAGCCCAATTTTTTTTTAGGAAATAGAAGCAACATCCTGTAATTAAGATAAATTGTCCAGCGGGGAATGAATGGAGGGGATGTGCATAGAACTTCTCAGACTACTACCCTCACCACTCACCTCCAACCCCAACCCAAAGAAGCTACCCTCGTTGAGATCCAGCCTTGCAGCTCCAGAAATGAGTGAAGAGAGGGGAGGTCTCCAGTTTCACACCACTCTGAGTGGTCCTAGGGAGATTCCCCTGACCTAGTCATAGATTTGCTTTCAGACCTCAGTTGGCAGTCCCAAGCAAAGAGGTCAAGATCAGTCCAATGTGTTTAGGGCTAGTCTAATAAAACTTCTGGGTCAGCCGCAGTGGTTAAAACAGATTTGACCAACCCTAATTCACACCTAAACTGTTAGAGTTGGTTTGGAACTAAAGAAGAATAGGAAGAAGGATTAACAAAGAAAATGTATGCCAATTTTATAGGTTTACAGTAAGGAGTATTGCAAAAGGTAATACCCAATATCCTATCATTATATTTCTTCAATACCAAGTGGAAAACCCCTGGCTTATAAATTCATTCATCAAGTCAGCAAGGACTGAGTGTTCACTGTGTTGGCTTATCAGTCAATAGAATGGCGATTTTGAGAAGAGTTCTACTGTCAGTTCTAAAGTAATACTTTTGTAGTTAGTTTAGAAACTTGACAACTGATAAACATATAAAGCAGAAAGTTGGTGAAGGGACATGGTTTTAAAGGAATTTGTTGTAATCTTAGAAACATACATTGGAACATAAGCCCAGTAAAAGTAAACTGTTTTACTTGTAATTTAAGCTAGAAGATACTTAAATAAAAGAAACGTTTTGCTTTAAGAACAAAACTAAAATATTTGGCCTTACAAACATCATCCAACAGATCCACCAACATAAATTTTTATGAAGTCTCCTCGGATGGGAATGTTCCTTCTATTGTGCACAATTTTGAAGATATTGGTCCAAAATTCATCTTCTCCCTTAAGGTTGGTATGCCTGTCCTAAGGATGGCAAATCTAGGAGAAAGGGGAAGGGGAAAAAATGAGTTTGGGAAGAGAACTAAAAAGAAGTTGAAGTACACCAGTGGTTCTCAAACATGTGTATTGAAGTTACCTGGCGGGCTTGTTGAGACACACGCTGGGCTTCATCCCCAGACTTTCTGACTCAGAGATCTGGGGTGGGCCTAAAAACCTGCATTTCTTACAAGTTCCTGGGTGATGCTGATGCTGCTGGTCCAGGTGCCAAATTTTGAGAACCACTAGAATAGACCATAGATAAGTAAACAGCTGGGCTTTGTGAATAGTTACATTTTCTGGGTAAGGGATAATTGATATGTTTTAAAGATAAATGTTCAATATCAATCAGCAGAGCATTACCCTGATGTACCATTTTAGTTTTGTACATTTCCTACTAGTCCGTCATATGCTTGCAACTCTGCAATTTTGTAAGTTAAAAAAAATATATCTTTAAAAGAATCTTGATTGGAGATTCAGATGCTGGAATTTATAAAATATGGATGGTATCTGGCAATCACATTCTTAATGGGACATTTAATTAATTGGTATTAATAATGAAATAACATTCATGGGGACAGTAATTAGTATCAGCCATTGTATCAAGTGTTTTACATATGTTACCCCATTTAATTCCCAGATCAGCTATGAAGTGGGTACTATTATTTTTCATAGGGGTGTTATTTTAAATGCTTAACAACTAGTAGGGCATGAGCACTGGCCAGTGAGCACAGATGCTTACCAGTGCCCTCTACCATTCCTGCTGAATGTCCGGTTATTTTTATTTTACAAATGAGAAGACTGAAGCACAGAGAGGTCATGATCCTTGCCCAAGCCACACTGCTAGTCAGTGGCAGAATGGGACCCCACACCCTGGCAGCCCAACTCCCCAGAGAGTGTTTTCAACCATTTATACCACGTCTCTGAAGTCACAAATCATTTACCCATTAAAGCTGTAGATGTTGAGATTTTTCCCATGAGACACGATGACCTGAAATGTGGTTGTAAAGTAATGACTCCCTTTCATATGGACTCAATCTTACCACTTTATAGTTGCCCCTCATCAACACAGGGGTTAGATCACTTTCTTTGCATTATATGCATCATATAACAATACCAGCATGTTTTATTCCTTATGTAGGTAACAACAGGAAGCATTCCAGTAAGCATGGCATCTGTAATCATTCGCATCCCTGAATACACCAAAGAAAAGAATCCACTGATGTACCTGACTGGGGTGCACACAGACCAGGTAAGGATAATAAAATTGCCTATAAAAATAACCACTTTCAAGTTGGGAATAACCCATGAAGTTGGGGTGATTGTGTCTGACATTTTATAGATAGGAAACAGAAGATAACCCCAATGCATCCAGCTGCCAATTAACTAGCAATAATTTCATATTAGAAGCAGAATATTGTTACGAGAAAACAACTGTCTGAGTCTAGGAATTTACATATGGCAGAATTTATTCCAAGAGCCCTGTTTTGGCCAGGTGAAGATATGACTTTGTCAGGGCCCTCTTAACAGAGAAGACTGGGAAGTGAGAGGTTGGACCTCTGGTTGTAGCAGGTCTACACTGCTGCAAATTGACAGCTGGTCTTCAAGCAGCTAGCCTGGGCTTTCAGCCAATGACACTCAACCCTGTTCATTTTACTCATCCAGGTTGCTTTTTAAATAATAGTGATGCCCACACCCACCTCAGGCTATTAAATAAGATTCTCTAGGGATAGGGCTCCCACACAGGTATCTTTCTTTGAAAGCTCCCCGGGTGGTTCCACCCTGCAGCCTGGGCTGAGAAGCACTGCTCTAGCCAAACCCTTTGACATCGGCTCACCCCTAGTGTAGCACTTGGCTGGTTCTACAGTAGTGTTGTTCCTGTAGTGTGCACAGGAGACAACAGGAAATCAAAATCCACAGAAAAGAAGCCTGAATTAAATCACTCACAGTTTATTGCTGTTGCAAATTTGTCTCATCACATGTGAACTGTAAGAACTTAGCCCACTTCAAGTCAGGAAGACTTGAATACCTCAAGGTTTACCTTGGTAACTACAAGAAGTCTGGCCAGGTCAGTGCAGTTGAAAGAAGCCTAACAGCCCCTCCCCTGCCCCAACAGATGACAGCAGGATTTCTTAACACATTGGAAGGAACATTATAAGCCATTTTGCTCCCTAAATCTGGTTTTGGTGTTCTTCTCTGTAGGCTGGTGACATCAGTTGTAATGCAGATATAAATCCACTGAAAATAGGACAGACATCTTCTTCTGTGTCTTTCAAGAGTGAAAATTTCCGGCACATAAAAGAACTGGTGAGAATAAGTTAACATGAAAATTTCCTTCAGGGATTTGTTTGCTTTACCTGGAATCAAGGCACTTCTTTTCTCCTACCAGCTGATGTCATAGAGCTTTCTTATTTCACCTTTGGTGGCTGATTACAAACAAATCAAGATTTAGGAAATGCATGCTCAAATCTAGGTTATTAGAATTATTATTTATGACATGACTTATAAGATTGCATGTTCCAGAGTTCATGATGTCAAAAGGAATCGTGTAAAACTAGTGTGTTTCTGCATTGTGCACTTTGGAAACACTGCAAAGAGCTGTGAGGGAACAGGGCACATGCTTTAGAGGCGAAGTCCCTTAAATCCCCCTTCCACATAATCCTGATGTCTTTTCTGTTTTTCAATATTTTATTATCTCCTGCTCCCAAGCTGTGCCCTCTTCTTTGAGAAACAGATTAGTCTAGTATCTAGCATGATGCCTGTTTAATAAGTAAGTGTTTAGTGAACAAATAAACCCTAAACAAACCACAGCTCTCTCCTATAAGCAATATTTAAATTTTCCTTGTTTTCTTTTATTGAAATTGCTTTATTTCTTGAAGGATGGGGAAAAGGAAAATAGGAGGATGAAACAGTGTTTCTTTTAATGTGCATTAATCCACATACAGATTATATGTATGGTGGTACATAAATGAACCATGCTACCTTTTAGCCTTTGGCATAGGACAATGTCATAGACTTTTTAAATTAGACTTATTTTTTAGAGCAGTTTTAGCTTCACAGCAAAGTTGAGTGGAAGTACAGAAATTTCCCATATACTCCTTGTCCCAACATATGCACAGCCTCCTCCACTATCAAAATATTGCACCAAAGTGGTACAATTGTTACAATCAGTGAACCCACATTGACACATCACTATCACCTTAAGTCCATAGATGACATGAGCGTTCAGTCTAGGTGTTGTACAAATCTGTGCTATGAATTTTGGTAATGTTTAATGACATGTATCAATGATTATAGTGTCATACAGAGTTTTTTCACTGCCCTAAAAGTCCTCTCTGCTCCATCTATTTATTCCTCGCTCCATCTAGTCCCTGGAAACCACTGATCCTTTTACAGCCAACTTTTTTTTCTTAATCTAAGGAATGCACCTTTATCATTAAGTTTAATGACTAAATTATACTACATTTTGTGTATGTTCAGTAATTTCCTTAACTAGTACATTCTTGATATACATGAGTTATTTACAGTTCTTTGATTGGGTTTTTTTTTTTTAACTCTCATAAACAGTGCAATAAATGGGCTTGGTGTACATTGTCCCACTTATTTCTGATTATTTCTAGATATGAAATAGCTGGGGCGAAGGGTTTACACTTTTTACATTTTGAGACACAGTACCAAAATCCCTTGAAGAAGGGTTATAACTCCTAATAGTTCATGAGATTGCTTGTTTTCCTAGATCCTTTCCAGCACTGGGTTTTATCTATCTTTGTAAAATTTTAGCATTTATTTTTAAAACCCATACTAACCCTCTCTCTTTTAACCTTGACTCCACCTTATAAGAACTGCAGAACTGCTTCCTGTAGTAATGTTACCTGCTGGCTGAAAGACCTTGACGTGAAAGGAGAATACTTCATTAATGTGTCTACCAGAATCTGGAACAGGACTTTTGCGGCAGTACGTATGAGCTTTATTTATTCGATTTATCAACAGCAAGGAAATGCAGACCCCACTGTCAAGAAGTTCTTACCCTTTGACAAAATTAGTATCCTGACTAATGTTGGCAGTGCCCAAATATTCCAGAGCTATTTTACCTTGGAAGACATTCTGCTTCCATCCCTTTGCAATGCTTGTCCGATGTGCATTGCATCAGAATCACCTGGGATGCTTGTGAAAGTGTCCATTTCTCCGACTCCATGCTGCCCTGCTACATCTGTAAGCATGGTGTCAAATCCGCCTCTGCTGTCCTTGGCTACAGTGGCCACCTGTTTTGTCTCCATCCCCATGCTCCCTGCATTTCCACCCTCCCAGTTTCATCCACCACACCCAAGTCAAAATGCATGCGTCTCTGTCTTTCTCCTTGAGCTCTTAGCTAATTGTCTGATTGATCTCATACCAGCTAGTAGATGAATCTAGTGTAAGAATCCATCTTCCTATGGTAGAGCCAGGTAACCACTCTGCTGTCTTGTTTTACGCTTTCTCTGATGAAAGAGGCCAGTGAGCACACAACCTTTTAAGTCATTTCAATCACCATGAAAAGTTTATAGAAAGTGCCAAAACTATGTCAGTGGTTTTTTTTCTATATGTCAGGTGTGAGTATACCATAGTGATATTTGCTTTTGGCAGGGATTTTGGTAGTCAGAATTTCAGTCTGGCATGAAAAACTTAAGGATAGACAGACAGGCCTTCTTAAATCTGACTGCTTGAGTGGCTAGCCATTCCTTTACCAACATTGGCCCTGATTGAGGTGGCAGAATAGAAATTAGTATGAAACCTCCTGGGAGCCTTTGTGGCTCTCGCTGGATTTTTTTTTTTAAACTAAATAAATCAGTTCCCAAGTTGCTTAAAACCACATTTTATTCCCTGTTTTTTCACCATTTCATGATCTCTCCAGTAAACCCCATTCCCTGCTATGGAGTTTTGTATAAGATTAGAGAACTATGCTCCCTCCAAACTTGTCCCTGGAGTCAAAATATAAGCAATATTCTTGGATAAAGACATAATAGAAAAAGGAATAGTGGAAGGTTAGAAAAAAATACAGAATTGGGGGAGTGGGGAAATGAGGAGTCGGTTTTCTTTTTGCTTCCTTTGTTTTGTTTTCTTGTCAGTGCATTTGCTTTCACGCCTTTGGGGCAATTACAAATCCTATAAGATGCAAAGCACTCCATTAGTTGTGCCACCTTCTCTCTGCTGCAGTCTCGTGCTCAGTTTTACCAATTGGTCCTTGGCCCCTTGGCTTTGAGGAACAAATATTTTCATAGCATACTTTGCCAACTGGGAAGGAAAACTGTTGCACATGAAAATGCAATCACGCCAGCTCTGTAAAACACATTCGGTTTGTCTTGAGTTTGTTTAAGGCCAGATCATTTTAACTGTGAGACTTTTTAAAGTACCTTTCGATGGTCTTCAGAAGCAAGTTTCATTCTGGGAGCAAACTTCTTGGGAAGTGTGTTTTTTATGCTTTTTCAACATGGTCATGACGGTTAAATGGAGCAAACGCCCCTGAGAATTATTGTATGTCAAGTCTTACACATATTCCTCCTTCATGAAGGGTCAGATGTTTATATCCACCTTATTTTCACCTATTTCATCAGCAAAGTGAATGTTTCTCAGACCACCTGGGAGATCCGGTATGAAACATTGATCTCATTTCCTATATAAGAGCCCATTATGTACTGCCTTCTGTTGCCACCCTTTTTCTGATGTAATCCCAGCTAACTTAACATTTCAAGTAATTTCATCACAAAGTGATTGCTCAGGCCTCCACACTGCTGGCAGTGTTGGCTGCCATTTGTATGGAAAAGCCTTGAGGAATGCTAGCGGGTGTGATGTTTCACTCTCCCAGGTGTGTGTGGTATGCACAGCTCTACTTGTTAACCCTGCAGAATACTGTGGACCTGTGAGAAGGGCCTGATTTGGGAGTGTAGATACATGAGGGTTCTTCAAAAAGTTTCAAGGAAAAATAGAATTAAAAGAAAATACAAAATTTTCCACGAACTTTTTGAAGACTCCTATCAATATTAAGAAAAATTCTTCCATCTGTAGTCTACAAGGACTATGCAACCAGCATTCACTTAACTGCTACTTAAACCATTATTGATATTCTTAATGTTCCCCCGATAATACATGTTTAAGTGACTGGTGATCAGGGTTAATTTCTGATGCAATCTTCCATCTTGAGAAAATTAAGAGTAACCAGAGACTGAGCCAGTGGAAAGGAAATAAATTCCTCACTTTTTGGAAATACATTCTTTCTTTCTGGCTCTTAGATATAGTTTAGCAAGTTACCTCATGGAGTATATTGAATCTTATGCCCTAGTAACCAGAAAAACTGAGTCCTAGTAGCCAGAGCACATGAAAGCAGCTCTAAAATCTGAGCGTTGTATTCTATTTCACAGTAATCGTCAGGCCCAGTATTTGCATTATAGAGAAAACAACAGCAAGATATAGACATCAATAATGTTTCCATTGAAAAATAGATTATTTTTCTGTAACTAGATCAAGGAATGCATGTAGTTATTTCATATTAGGAGGTTACTAGTGACATCAGTGTAAAATACACATCCTTCCTATGTGCCTGTCCCAAATCCAGTATGATTTAATAGAAACACTTAGATTAGGAAATCTGAAATTATTACTAATGTGATATCACATGCCAAAAGGTTCAGGGTGTCTGCTGCTGACACGCATGGTCAAGTTCAAGGGTACTTTTAAACAGTATTATTTCACACACATATACTCAGAAGGAAAATTCTCTTCCCTTTTTAATGTAGGTTTTTCCATTCCATTATGTGATTTAAGTTCGGGTAAGTATATAAAAATACCAAGTCTGCAATTTTCTCTCATGTCACAAACTTCATTAAGTTTTTAAAAATCTGAACCGTGATCTTTCCCAGTTAAAAACATTCATTTTTAAACCCTTGTTTTTCAACCCTGTTTTCAAGTCCACATCACTTAGGGAGATGTTTTAACCTGCTAATGTCTGGACTCCACCCCAGAGATTTGGTTTAATTTGCACAGCAAGGCCCAACCATCTGCATGGTTTAAAAGTTCCTCAGGTACTTCTCTGGAGTCCTGTTACATAACGCCGGTTTAAGCTCACAAAGATTCTAGAGTCTTCAGGATTGGCATTTGCTCTTATCACTTTCTAGCAGGAAAGAAATAAATCATAAACATGTCAGGTTTTCTGCATTTACTGCTGCTAGGATAAAATTCATTCTTTATTCTTATGTTCCAGTCGACTTTCCAGACAGTACAGCTGATAGCAGCTGCAGAGATTGACACCTATAACCCTCAGATATACGTGATCGAAGAAAACACCGTTACGGTGAGTGCACCACATCTCTCCCAGCAGTCATTAGAGTCTAAAATAGGCATTTCATTTCAAAAACCTGGAATAGTCTTTCTTCTTACCTACATGTATGTCGAAGCATCTTACTGAAACTCGAAAAATCTGACATTTATCACGTTGAGTTTCTGGCAAGGGTGCTTGCTACTCAAAAAGTCCAGTGGTATACTTCCCCTCCTCCATGCCCCACATGTTGGCAAAGGTGGCTTTCCTAGAAGTGATGATCCAATGACAGGCACAACAAAAGGGGTTCTATCTCATTTGGGACTCCAACATGTCCCATCTCCTTGCCTAAACCAGCACCACCAGCTCTTCCCTTCTCATGCTTACACACAGCCATTCAGATCTTAGGCCATGAAGTCTAAGTCATGCTTATTTAAATCATAAATTGTAGAGTATTTTTTAAAAGAGAAGTGCTGAGGCATGCTTAATAAATAAGGCATTTGTTAGAGATTTTTTTTAATAGTACTCCTTATAACTAGACACTGACACTGTATGACATGTCCATTCATTAGGTCTTACATTCTAGAAAACTCTAAATGCTCTCCTTGATAAAAAAAAAAAAAAAAAAAAAAAAAAAGTACTTTCATAGAAAACAAAGGCTCTGTGTTCCAAGAGCTGGCACTGGACAGTTTTCCTCTGCACTGAAACTCTGGTTAGAATGTGCCATATTTAGATATAGCAGGATTTCCATGCCCTGCTAATCTGCTGGCAGAACCCTAAGCATTCTCTTCCCAATGCTTTTGTTAGGAGTTGGAAGCCAGTTCAAGACTCTAACCCCAAGGCCAGGGTTGCAGTTGGCATCAGTCCACTGCTTCAGTCCACGGACTTGGTTAAAACGCTGATGAGCCTGCTCAATGCCTGAGAGTAGAGCTCACAGTACTGCTGTCCCACTCCTGTCCCAGGAAAAATGAGTCCACACAATAAAAGATGCTTTTCTGCCTCTGGCTTAAGAGCTTCAGTAAAAGCCCACACCCTCTCTTCAGAGTCTGGGGCACGGAAAACCAGAAATGGAGCCAAAGAAAATATGGACTTCAAATTCAAAGTGCTATGAACTTAGCCCAGAGGAAAAGTACTATAGATTTTTTAAAAAGCTCACTTTATAAAAAATTTAGTGTTCAAACAATATGTGAAACTCTACCAAAGTCCTTGTTTTTTAGAAAGCAGTATTAAATATATAAATTCAAATTAACAATTTTAATGAACCTATTAGATACTTCTTTTCTTGGTTTTCTCTTAGCAATACTAATAATAGAAACCAATTATTGCTTAATTGTGTCTGTGAAAATATTTTTTGAGTCCAATTATTTGGATAATTTTTTCAATAAGATTTTGAATCTAAATAATAAATTGACACATCCCTATAGGTAGATAAGTGTTTGTTATATTTATTTGAATCTCAGGCCCACTTAAAAATCTGATCCACAAAATTTTGTACTTCCGGGACCTTAGGGATCCGTGGACCCCAGATTAGGAAGCTCTGGAATACAGAGCGGTAGGTATATGACTGTCATTAAGCAATGAACTATATAAATGTATAGTTACTTTATTCATAAATTTAGAAAGCCGTATTTTAGCTCCTGAATATATAAGTGAGAAGAAATACAGTCACCAAGGCCAGCTTCAAGTTTAGCCCAACTCATAAATTTTATGACAAAAAGCAACTTCTCTGCCACTGTAATTTAATATTAAATCAAGTAAATAATTAGATATTGTCCCCTTCCTTCGCTCCAAAATGCAGCTCTTTAAGAATATTTTGTGAAGGAAATGGTTGAGACTCTTTACCCAATTAAAAAGATGACTAATATGTAATTTTACTGTTAAAACTCTTAGGGCCGTCATTCCATTACAGTGTCACTGAGATTGCCAGAAAGTAAACATAAAGAATCGTAAATAGCCTCAAGGACAACTTTATCACTGAAAAGGTCAACCTGAGCCCTGAGATATTAGTCCTACTTTTGCAACAATTGATACCAACCTTGAATGAGATTTAAGCGAAATCAGCATTTTAGAAGCTGGATACAAAGTTGCTGCTGCTGTTGTTTAATCACAATGGAGTGGGGTTAATTAATTAGTTCTGTGACTTCCCTCCCCACGGCTGTTGGCTTTCACTTGATGATGCGAATGTATGCCAGAAGCTGAAGTTCCTATATTTCATAAATAATTGAAGCATCTGAGATCGTCAGAAGTGACATAGCCACAAAATACTGATGCAATTAAAGGAGGGAAACTAGAAAACTTGTATTCTTTACCTGGATTTTGCAGGAGCATTTTCTCTAAAAATTGTACTGCAGTGTTTGAGGAATGCCACCATGAGCAAGTCATGTCACCTTTCTAGAGCAATAGACCTTCATTTATAGGATTAGAGAATTGGACTAGACCATCTCACTTTTTTTTTTTGGTGCTGAAATTGGATAACACAATTGTGAACATACATTTTCAGATTCCTCTTACAATAATGAAGCCCGATGAGAAAGCCGAAGTACCAACAGGAGTTATAGTAGGAAGTGTAATCGCTGGAATCCTTTTGCTGTTAGCTCTGGTTGCAATTTTATGGAAGGTAAGAAAAGTTTCATATTTTAAAATACAGGGCTCCCTTTCATCCAGGCCCTGAACGTTTTGCTCAGCTTCAAATAAGTAGACTCTGAAAAATTTAACTATGCAATTCAGTTCAACTCTCTGGATAGAAACGTCCTCACCAAAGGGGTGATAGATACTTGGTCAGCTGTCTGCATACCACCCTCTCCAGAGCCTCAGGGATTCCCAGAGATGTTTTAGGGAAAGTGGATAGCAAAGTGGGTCAAAAGCACTACACAAAATAAGCCATGGATGGTAACATTTTTACTTCATCCCCTTTGCAGCTGGGCTTTTTCAAAAGAAAATATGAAAAAATGACCAAAAATCCAGATGAGATTGATGAGACCACAGAACTCAACAGCTGAACCATCCAGCAGATGTCACTGCAGTGGGGACTGGCAGCATCCCAGCCAGAGTTTGCTATTTGCATGAATGGATTTCTTTTTAAATCCCAGTTTTTTAATAACCTAATAGGTAAACTAGCCTGGTATTTTAAGAGAAACTGCAGAGCAGTTTGGAATGAAGAAATCATTGGCGGGGGTGGGGGGGGTATATATAGGTAAAAGTCTTATTTTATATGGGGAAAAAAGTTAATCTTTAAACTGGCTGGTCCAGAGCATACGTTCTAATGCGCATTGTGTCAGAAACATGTAATGCTTCTAACATGACAATTCTTAAAGAAAAACATAACACTTTTTCAGATTTGGGGGGGAAAATGCTCTCTTTAGAATGATTGTCTTTAAACATCAGCAACAAAAGTGGATATAATATATATACAAGTGTATATATTATAGTGGGTACTTGCAATTACATAAATTATCATGAATATTAATGTTAACAAGAGGGGAAAAACCAACATAGGTTGTTTTTCAGTTTATGCTGTTCATCCAAAGTTGCCACAGTGGATACTTTTAAGTGATAATTTTATTTATAAACTAGGTAAAATTTGTCATTGGTTCCTTTCAGCCCATAGCTGCCTCTGTAGAGTCCCTTTTGCTATAAATGTCAAAACATGCTTGAATAACTTATCGGAGCTTAAAGTATACTTCCTACTGAGGAAATCTACATTTAAGTGGGGGTAGAGGACAGCTTAGAGGCCAAGACACAAAATTTTGCTTAAAATCCATAACATAGCATTTGTTGTAAAATCCTGTCCGCTGAAGGACCAGCCTGTGCCAGAGGAAAGAGGAGGAACTTTTAGGATGCACAACAGTTCACTTTTAGGACTTGATTTGTTGGCTGGCAGAAACCTAGTGAATTTTTGAAAGATGAGCAATTTCTTTGGCAACACTCTTCCTCCCTTACTGAACCACTCTCAACCTCATGGTGCCTCCACATTATAGAAGCCCTCAGAAGCCTACCTTCCTCTCCAGTAGCTGAAAGTTATCCACCTTTCTTTATTCCTTATTTAAATCACCTAATCCTTCAGGATGGCTCCTTTACACCACGTGTTAAGAGGAAAAAGTCATCTGTTTAGTTCACACACTCGTGTGAATTGCTGTATAAACTCCTTAATTTCAGGGAGCTATTTTCGCTTATTGCTAAACAAGTAAGAAAAATAAGCCCCAATGAATTTCTAAATGTTGAAATTCAGGTGGTGAAAACAAGGTAAAGTGAAACAACATTTCAGGAATTTGCAAGAAGTTACAGAGGAGGCATTGGAAACCACCAACTTAGCACCTGAGCCCTCTGTGCTTGTTTTGTTTCCAGAGTACTTGAACTTCCAAAAGAGTGAATTTCACCTGGGCGAGTTTGTTCAAATGTAGATTCTTAGGCCCCAACTCTCAAGATTCTTCTTTGATCAGACTGGGATATGAGGCTCAGTAATCTGCATTTTCACAAGCATCCCAGTTCACACTTTGAAGAACACCATCCGTTTCTACTTTTTGCACCTTCTTTTCTCTATTTCTGAACCCACAAGTTCTCTAGGAGAGACTTGGAGGAAAACGGCACAAGCAAGAGCAATGGAGACAGAAGGGTTGTCAGACAATACCTACCTAAGCCTTTGGAAAAGTCCTCATTATAAAATGGAGGATGGGGTTGGAGCTCAGCAATGACACTTTTAGTATTTTCTATTTGCATTATAGGTAATCCAGATCATAGCCTTTTAAATTCCAAGAATTTGACTTGGAAAAGATGTCTGAGGAAAACACATGTTTGCCCATGTGCCTATGGATGGCCTTGACTGCCCTCCTGGTCTGGCCTGTGCTGGCAGCCTGAGCTATCTGGACTGCTCAATGATTTCCTTTGTATCTGACAAAGCAAAACAGACAAGAAACAATACAATTGGCCATAAAACGTCAGGGGTTTATAGCAAAAAACAGCTTGGTATTCTCTAGTTAGGTGTGCCAGAGCCCAATTCTTTCAACAGCTGTGTGGATTCACTGTTTCATTTCAACCAAAATTAAAAAAAAAAAAAAAAAAAAAGAATGGAGAAACTGGCCATTAGATTGATAAAGAATATTTAATTACTGTTTAATACAGGTTTTTCAATGTGCTATACAAAGAATTAAGGCACATTATTCCTTTTTACTCTGTCTCACCTTCCTTAGGTAAGTACTAACTAAGGTCACATGCACACATTGAGTTTGAGAGCTTTGGCTAGCCTTGGCTTAGTTAATCAGCCTCAATTACACTGTTTCCATGGAGTAGTTGGATTATTATAAACTAAAAAATTAGCCACTTATCTCCACACCATTTATTACACTAGGGCAGGGTTTCTCAACCTTGGCACTACTTTCATTTTGGGCCAGGTAATTGGCCAAGTGATTCGTTCTTGTTGGGGGCTGGGGGTCCTGTGCCTGGTAGCATGTTCAGCAGCATCTCTGGCCTCTACTGACTGGATGCCAGGTAACATCCTCCCCGCTGCAGTCGTGACAATCAGAAAATGTCTCCAGACATTGTCAAATGCCTGCTGGGAGGAGTATTTCTCAAGCACTTTTAGGCAACTGTGAGTATTCACCCAAGAAATTAGGGAGGAAAAAAAACCATTGTTTGAAAAAATGATACATGTTCCGTGCTTTTGTTTTAAAAGTAAGTATAGGGTTTAAAAGATGTCACGCTAAAATTTCCATTTCATAAATGGTATACAGACAAGGTCTATAGAACATGATAAAAACTTTGAGTTGCTTCATGCATGGATGCTATGCATTATAAAATAGTAACACATTATAAAATAGTAACACAGAAAAATAGCTTGATGAAGAAACTGCATTGAGATTTAAAATTATGCTTCACCCATGTTAGCAGCAAAATGAAAACTCCTAACTAGACTAAAATTTTTTCTAGCTGGCAGTGTTATTTTTATAAAATAATGAAAGTTATGTGTTAGCTGTGAAGAATAAAGAAAATTAAAGCCAATTTATTATAGTCACAATTTATTATAAAAGTTAGTATAACTTTTACACTAAAAGTTAGTATAAAACGTATAATTTTATAATGTATTTATGTATCCTGATATACAGCTATAAACCCACATATGAAAATCTCATAAATTAAGACATCATTAAACAGAAGGCAGGATTCCTTAAACTGAACTCCCTGATCAACTTTTAATATTTCAATTTGCACACATAAAACAATTGTATATACAACTTTTTAGGACTATGTCCTTTATGTAAATTTAGGCATACCCATTTTAATCAATTTGAAAGATTACTTTAAACATCTAGAGGTGAAAGATAAACATAGAGGTAAGGTTTGAAATAAATGAAAATAGTAACTACTTCTTTGAACTTCAAAGAATGAAAATGTAGCTATTATGTAAATATAAAAAGATAGCTTCATATGTACCTGATTTATTTTGGCAGATGAAGTCAAAATATAGCTGTATATATTGCACAATTTTGTTAGAATTGTATATTTTTTAAAGAATAAATTGTCTTGGATATTTTACTTCATAAATAATGTGTAAGTCTTTGTTAAGATGTGATATGTTTGCTGTTTTAATTATGTTTTGCCTTTTTTCTCTCCACCAAAACTGTAAAAATGAATATATGCATGTTTGTACATCAAGTTGCACAATTCATCTGATTTGTGGGAAACAAAAATCAAAGTAGAGTAGTAATCAATATAAACCAGTAAATAGCTTTCTCATATCAATATATGAGAATCAAATGGAAAAGTCTTATTTAATTGTAAACCACTCTTTTCATACCACATTATTGAACATCATTAAAGTTGTTTTGAGAATAAATCTATTTCTTTGGGTTTTGATCTTTACAAGGTAAACATTTTACTGTATTTATCTTATGTACTCACTTTGCTTCAGAACACACTCAAGACTCAATTTAAGAAGACTGAGGATATAACTAGCCACAGGTATCTAGTCTGTTTCTAGCAGGGACCACAAGGATGACTTGTAGGAGGCTTAAACTACCTTCAAAGTTTAGGGACTTAGTATAAAGCCGTGTTCCCAAAGTGTGGCCCATAGGTAGGCAGTGACTACCTGGGAGCTTATTAGAAAATGCAGATCTCAGGTGCCACCTGGAATTATTAGTTTCAAATTGGGAGTTTAACAAGATCCCTAGGTGATTCACATTACATGAAATTGAGAAGCACTGCTCAACAGCACAATTTATCTCTTGAATTAAAATACATGCTTGGATAGAGAAGAAGAAAAAAAAAAAAAATCAGCCAAGCTGCTGCAACATGCAAAAGCATCGTCATCTGCATAGTTTGTTTTGTTTTTAATTTAAGTAATAAGCAGGAGGGTTGAAATATTTTTATTGTAAAGACTAGATATGCTGAAATGAGTATGCTGAAATTATAAAATAAGATACACATCACATTCACCATACAGATGGCAGATTAATGCAAAGGTGGGGAGGAATGTGCGTGTGTGCTGCCATTTCTATGGATACACAAGCATCTCCCATTCATGTATCAGATGCTCTCTCTCATGACTTCCTGCCTACCCCCAGTGTGCTGAGCCATCTCATAAGGCCAGCTTACTGTGGAGCAACCACCGATAACTGTGTTTGGCATATATCTTGTATTAAAATACAGTGTTTGAGAAAAAGAGCATTGGTTGTTTTTCATTTTGTTTTGTCTTTGTTTTTCACAGAGAGGGTTAGGAAATAATGGTAAAGACCTGTATTAAAGCTACCATTTGTCCCATACAGTTAATTGGAAAGTATTATTATATTTAGTCACTTTTTAAAAATTCTTTTTTTTTTTTGTCCTTTTTGAGACTGGCCGCACCACGCTTAGTCAGTGAGCACTGTGAGCGCACCGGCCATCCCTATATAGGATCCGAACCCGCGGCGGGAGCGCTACCACGCTCCCAGCACCGCACTCTCCCTAGTGCGCCACGGGCTTGGCCCTAAAAATTCTTTTTACCTATTTTATATCACCTGTAAAAATATTACAAATAGCATTTTTAAAAACTCTTCCCTCATTCTATATAACTTTTAATATTTTAAAGTAAGATACAAATACAACTCTGGCATCATCTTACACAAAATCAGGGCCTAATTTTCAGTTCTACTTTAAAGAAAATGGCTACCAAAGTGAACTTTTTGGTTCTATGCAAAATAAAATCTACAGACTCAAGTTACTCTTACTATAGACCCGGCTCTACCGCCCTCTGCTGGATGATCCACCTAACTACATCAAACAGCTCACTACCAGCTTAAGAGATCTTTATTTATTTATTTATTTATTTATTTTGTCTTTTTTCGTGACCGGCAAGGGATCGCAACCCTCGGTGTTGCCCCCGCTCCTCACTCAGCCAGTGAACGGCCGGTCTGTTTGTGGGATCCGAACCCTTGGCAGGAGCGCCGCCGCACTTCCCAAGCGGCGCACTGTAGCAGTGCGCCACCGGGCCGGCCCAAGAGATCTTTAAACCTACTAAGCGCTCAGTAACTGTAAGATGTCATAGGATGAAAGTGTGGAAGGTACTGGAGGAGTAAAGTTGCAGTACCCACTCATTCGTTTAGCAAGATATTTTTTCTCATCTATAAGTGCTACACGTGTCAGGTGTGTTTAATTTGGGACACAATACTTAACATCAAGAGCACTGGTATTCATTCAGCAAATACGTATTTGAGTGCATACTATAAGCTCATGTACTGGTTAGGCACTGTGGCGACAAAGTCTCTGATATCATGAAGTTTACATGTAGTGATGGCAATAAACTTCTAGATGTAGTACATCAAGTATTATTCAGTACCACAACAAAATACAAAGCAGATTAAGGGGGCAGGATTCCAGTTTTAAATAGGGTAATCATAGGCTCTCTGAGGAGGTAACATTTAAACAAAAACTGAAATAAAATGTGGACGTAGACTATGGGAATATCTGGAGGAAGAGGAACCTAGAAAGGACAGGTAAGGGCCCTGTAAGATGGGAATAAGCCTGTCACATACCAGCCACAGTAGAGCAGCAGCCTACAGCAAGATGAGAGGTGGGATGCAAGCAGGGGCCCCATCATGTGGGATTGCAGGCCACAGTGAGTGAGGACTTTGAGGTCCTAGGATGTGATGAGCTATCAGAAGGTTCCGAGTGGAACAATGAAATGATATAAGCAGGAGAAAGGAGTGTGGCAGGAGAGAGACCATCAGCAGGCCAGGAGAAATGAATGGAAAGCTGACTCTGGAAGTGGCAGTAGAGTACAGAAGAAGTGGTTGGATTCAGGATATATCCAGGGATCTGTTTGCTAATTCTCCAATAGGTTCATTCAGGGGTCTGAGACCAAGACTCAAACTACTGGCTTCTTAATCACTATTTCTCAAAAAATACTGAAAAATATATTGTGACTCTAAAAATCACATCCAAAGGACAAAATAACAACAAAATACTTCACTCATTGAACATCCGTTGTTACTTTCACTCAAAGATTATAAATCCCTTTTCATTTTGCCACCTGTACAAAAATACTTGAAACAAGTAAGTTTAATTTCCTACTTCCTAAGTGAACTTACCTAGTGATCACACAAAGTCACAGCTCCAAAGTGACCTTGAAACCCTGCAGGCAATATGCTTAAAGGCTTTTTTTTTTTTTTTTAGGTTATTCTAATTACTTGAGTAGCCAAGTCACAAAGATAGAAAGGCTACATGTCAGAGTGATACTAGCCCTTTAATACCTCAACCACCAATTAACTCTGCCACTCCTAAGTAAGGATCAATGAAGACCCTATTTAAGTCCAGTGTAATGTACCAAAGACATTTAAGGACATTCCATCCCAGTTCCTACATGCCCCAGATTAATTCTTTAACCTCTGAATTTGAGACTTTAAAAGCATAAGTCTTGGTTCCAAACTTAGAATAAAGCCTACTTAATGAAGGCACGATTCTTTAAAAATGTGTTTCAAGAGTATTCTATGTTCTTTAAAAACATAATTACTCTCAATAAAAATCTTCCAAAGAGGTATGAGTAGAAAAATATTGAAATCCACATATCCCTCATATTAACATATATAACATCAGAGATAAACATCACATTAACATATAGGTGCAAAATCCTAGGAATATCTACAGTGGCCCAGTGACCCTATGATAACATGCTTTCAGATATAATGCAATTGACTCTGTCCAGCACCCAGCCCCTGTTCTGTGATGGGGATAGGCTGAAGTTTGGTGGAAGACAGCACGAGGCTCTGAACTGAGGGGGTAAGGCTGAGACCAGATGGGCAACCGTGACTCGGTAAGGGAAGTATGTGGAGGTTTTGTCTGCTTTCCCAGTATCATTCAGGCCCAACGTCTCTAGAGTAGCCAAGGAGTAGGCACCAAGTAGCCAGGAGATTTCCTAAAGCTGATGTAGCTGTCCTGTAGATCCCAGGCAAAGAGAGGATGCAGAATTTTCCCCATGGTATTTAAAGGTGGTAGATAATGATCACTAGGTGGGTGCCTGGCACAGGACAGGCATTCAATAAATATTTGTTGAATAAATGAGTTCCTTTGATAAAAAAAAATGTTTTCACTCGATGCAACAAATAGGATTACTAGGTTTTTATCTGTTGCAGAAACAAGGAAAAAACTTTCAATCTAAGTGTCTGAAAGTACAGTTTTTGTTCTTAACAAGCATAATGCAAATTTTGTGATGACGCTAGTTGCCAAAATTACACCAATATTTTATTACTTTAAGAATTACATGTGTATATGTGAAATTTGCTAAGACAGATCTTAAATATTCACACCATACACAAAAAAAGGTACTATATGAGGTGATAGGTATGTTAATTAGTTGGATTGTGGTAATCATGTCACAGAGTATGTGTGTATCAAAACATCACATTGTATACCTTAAACGTATACAATTTTTAAGTATACCTCAATAAACCTGGAAAAATTTTTTAAAAACACCGAAACTATATGGGAGTTATATACTCAAATCTATCAATATATAGGTTGACCAGTCAAAAACTGGATCACTGTTTGGTATTGCAAAAATTTTAACTGTTTATTAATGACTTTACTAAGAATAATGTTGCATAAGTAACCCAAAGGAAACTATCTCAAAATGCTTCAATAAATAACCATTTAATTTTCCTTATATTAATTTCCTTGATGTAATTTCCATAAATGATTGTGGGTCAAATTATAAACATCAACTAACATTTTAACATAAATTACCTTGTTGCTAGTAAGTTTTAGAACAATTTTATGCTGGCTTATATATTAATACAATATTAATAACTAATAAACTACAAAAAAGTATTATGGTAAAATTATAGATTCTGAAATACTAGAAATCTCCATAATATGAGATATTTTAGGTATTATCTCTGAATTTAAAAAAACAGGAAACTACTATTTTAAAACTTTCAATCGGGTTTATTTAGTTTTTAAAATATACATAAGTTCTAAAACTATATAATATCACAATTGTCAGGTGACTTTTTTAATTCATTGAATCAAAATTGATTATACATATTTTGGGGGTTCAACACTGAGATATGTTGATCAAATCAATATTACTAGCATATATATTGTTACAAATCATAATTATTTTTTATGCCCCTTGTCCAATCTCTCCCCCTCCCCAATTAACCTAGATTTCTTCTCTCCTTCTAAAAGAATATTGGTTACTCTGTTGATTTGTTGCCTAGATGATCTGTCCAATGCTGAGAGGTGTGATCAGGTCCCCCAACATTATCATAGAGCAGATGCTTCTTCTGTCAGTCTGAAATGGGCTTTGTGGAGAGAGACATCCTCTTCTTTACTTTATCTCTGCTGATGACTCTCCTTGTGTCAATGCACTCCAATGGTTGGCAGACCATCTGTGTGGTGGTTGTGGCATCCAGACCCTTTCACAGCAGCCATGGTTATTGTGGTGGCTGTGGTGGGCCACCCACATGGATGTGATGTTTTTGGCATGCTACTTGGCGTTGGCAGTGTGCCTGGTTATGGGGTGTGTCTGGTCCCTGGCTCCATGCCTCAGGTCACCGGGCGGGCCCCAAGGTGCTGGCGCAGCTGATGACTTTTTATACTTTCCAGTTCTGCCAACATTTCTAGAATGCATCCCTGATGACAATGCTATCATTGGACTGGGCGATGGGGTGGAGATTGCTCTCTCTGAGACAGTTAAAGTCAGAGAGGAGGGGCCATACCTCAGTGTCAGCTGAGCTACAGTTAGAAATGTCATGAAAGGATAAGTCTATCACAGACATGTTTCCCTACGTATAAATTATCTCATTTCCTCCCTAAAGCCCTTTCTCTATCTCTAGCTGCTAAATAACCCTCATCCCACATACCCATTTATTTTGCTTTCTTTTTCTCCCTTTTGTCCCACTGGTATAACATAAGAGAGTGTACTTCAGTAAACTATCTTAATTAGTTGAGAAGAAAAAGCAAAATGTGATTAACAATAAAAGTTTACCAAATTTAAGATTTAGTGCTCTAAACATTTATGATTAATCACTGGTTGCCCAAAAGCATTCTTTGTTTCTTTTCCAAGATGATGATGACTCTTCATACATTTCCTAAAAAACAGAACCATAACAGGTGTTCAAAACATATCATTTTAATAAATAAAAATAGAATACATTTGAATGAATCAGACAAATGAATATCACATTTCAACCTGCTCTGCTTTTAACAATCTGATAAACATTTGCACAAGGCACTGAGAGCAGAAAAATAAATAGACATGTTCCCTACACTTAAGGACTCCCAATCCAATTGCAGAAATGACAGGGAGCTACAACAAGATAAGGTGTGACCAAACACAGAAGGGACTAAACAATTAACTCCCTTTGGGGCCATGTCAAGAAACATTATGGGCAAGGTTATGTAGGGAAAAATAGAAGGTATTTATTTAGTTTTAAACATTTTTTCTCTCCAAACACACATACCACTTCAACATTTCTAAATATGCTTTTCCAAAGGCAGACAGGATATTTCCACTAACTGTTAAATTAAGTGACCACCCACAGAAGTTCTTAAGCAGGTTTGAGCTGCACTGAGGTGTGAACTTCTCTGTTAAGTACAATGTGCACCCTACCTACCTGCCACCCCCTTCCTTTTATCACAGACAATCTCAAAGCATAGGCTAGGAATAGAATTTAGATAATTTGTGAGAAGGAGGGGGAAGAAGAATGTATCACTTTCTCATCTCACTCTCTAGTCAAAGACTCCATTTCTGCAGGAAGAGGAATCCAAATCCAACTGTCCTCAGTAACCTGCACTTGCCCCAACCCTCTACAGACAGAGAAAAGCAAATAGAAAGCTCAGCTATTCCTCAAAGCATGAAAACAAGAATGTGCCCCAACTCCTGTCCCCTCCCCTTATTTTCTGGGGCTATCCCCTCATCTGCTTTCTGTCAGCTGACTGTGCATTCTTTCCTTCCTGGTGAAGAAAGCAACCACCGCCGCCCAGGCTTGAAGCTCGTTTGGGAAGGTTCCTCCTCCTCTCTTCCGGGGCCTGCCTCATGTTCTATCAAAATGGTGGCAGCCTTGTTTGTAGCAAAGCAACCATATATTTGAGCTTCACTAAGTTTCCTTTCACATATCCCATCCTCTAATTCCAAAGTATTCCCTCGTAACAATGGGTTTTAGTTTTTATTCAGAAAAATACGGTCACTAAATTTCCCAGGCCCCAGTTCTGAGTCCCATTTGCTTATGTCTACCACTGACTGAGGCAGTAGGCTCCTGGGAAAGAGAGGAGACTCACCCTTTAAAAGCCCTGGCCCTCTGCTCTTGTCTTCTGATCTACTGAGCTGTTCATTAATTCCTCAGCTTTGCTGTCAGCCACAATGCTGTGGGCAATTCTAGACTCTGAAGCATAATGACACATGTTTGCAACTACAGAATAATCCCACTGCTAATGTCACTAGTCTAGGGAAGAAATTAAGGAGTTGGCCCTTTTCATCCCTCCAGAATACTCCATTTAACCAGAGAAATATTTGCTCTTGTTGATTGGTTTAACTTATTGATAGAAAACAAGCCAGAATGTCCTATGTTGTTAAATCCACTCACTATACACTATGCACTATCCACTAACAATCAGCAGCAATATCTCACCCCCCACCCCACCCCCACCCCTTTTTTTTTCTAAAAAGAAGGAGCTCTAGGAAAAGGCTCTTTTGCCTTGGGGAATTTCTACTTTAGTCCTTGCCGAAATTACTCAGCATTATTCCTACTCTTCAAAAGAAAAATCCTCTAATTCAAGGGAATTTTAATCCAAGGGAAATGACTTCATATATGAACCACTGGAATAGTCCAGACTAGGAAGGCTGTTACTGCTTGTTGAGACCTTCCCTGTGCCATGCATTCTTTGGGGCATGTATTTTTCATGCTCAACAAACATTTGGAAAGGGCATATTACATAAATGTCCTATTTCAAAAATAAAGAAAACAAGATTCTATAGTTAGGTAAGGCCTACAATTACAAATTCTGTATGTACTCTTACTCCCCACTGTTTATCTAAGAATTCCTGAGAAAAATCATGCCACCATGGCACAATGAGATATTTTCTTAACTCACCTTTTTCCATATGGGTACGTTGGCTTTTAAAGTATCAATGGCATAGTTCACAGCTTCGAGGGATGCAGCCCTGTGGGCTGAGGACACAGCAATGATTATGCTTGCTTCTGACACTGGAACCAAGCTTTAATAAGATGAAGAAAAAAAAATAACTATCACCTCTGAATCTACACGTTAAAGGATCTGCTAGACACATGAAAAAAAAAAATCCAGTTACGTATTCCTAGAACTATACTATAGTTCTATTTTATTTAAACATCCGATTTTGTTAGAAAAAGCAATTCATCCCGACTGCATACAGCAGAAGAAATTCTAAGGCTGATGTTGTGGCTGATTTGTTAACATCTATCCACTAAACTTGTTTGATGGGAACCAAGAAGAAAGGGTCCTTTCATTTATTCAGCAAACATCTGATTCAAACAAACAAGACACAGTGCTACATAATGCGTAGAGATACAAAGTTATCGCATGATAAATATAACACAGAATTTAAAATAATAAACAGCAATATTAATAGGATATTAATATTAATATTTATAACATTAATTAATGGCTTACATCTAATATATTAATAACATTGATTAGTAGACTGATAACATCTATTAATAGAATTACTGGTTATTGATAAAATTATAGTTATTAATAATAAAATAATAACTAATAGAATATGATAGATGTAGACTCAATCGCTGGCTGCTTCTTACAGCCCAGAAATCTACTTTTAGTGGTACAAAAAAGAAAACTATTTTGATGACTTTCAAACACATTTACATTAAAAAAAAATTAATAATGAACTGTCAAATAGAGAGTCCAAACCACCAAACATCTTCCAAAAGGCCTCAAGGACTTTATCAGCACACCTTAGCACAGGCCCTTAGGCCCAGGGCCTAAAAGTCTTGGCACATTTGCACTTTGTTAAGAGCACCCGTGGCAACGAGAGCTGTGTTTACACAATGTCAAACCACACAAGCAGCTTTTAAAGGTACTGGGAGCCATCTCTACTGTCCTCCACAACTATAATACACAAACCTTCCTCTCATTGTAATACAGAACTCCTAAGAAAGATTCCAGAATCAGAATTAGTACAGAGATGAGAAACAACTATAGTTAACTTTTAAACTGATAAAGGAAATCATACCCAAGTCTATGGAACACTGCTATGTGTTTGACTGGCCATTTCTGCCTAATGTCACTACAAATTTTTCTGACTTCATTTTCTGCCATTGGTAGATAAGCTTCATATTCTAGGCTAATGACTTTTTTCCCTTCAAAGTTATTTCTCGTAGTCCCTAAAGAAAAAAGCATAAAAAAAAGAATTAAGTTTTTTCCCTACTTAAATAAAATAGAATAAAAAAGAATTATTTTTGAGTAATAAACAAGCAGAATGCCAATTTGTCTAGAAATTACTTCAAAACTGTATAAAGACAAAACTTGATTAGGAAAACATATTTTAATTATATTTTAATTATTACAAAGATGACAAAGAAAATAAGACTGAGTAAGTTTACTGAAAATGCTCATATGAAAACCAGGCTATATTCCTTTTCTAATGGTTTAGCATTTCATACTTAGAAGGAAAATATTTATGTTCCCAGGATTATCATCAAGTATTTTTCCTTCAATATTTGGAAAATACAGAATTCTCTCCTAACAATGACTTTTATCCTACTTTTTTTTTTTTTATGGCTTGTTATTTAATATAGATTAGTTTGAAGGTTACTAAAGTAAGAAATTAAATTTCTAACCACCACCATGGGTAATCTTGGTTTATTACTCAGTATCTTAAAATCCTCTATTAACACTGAACATGGGAAGCACTTGCTAATTACTGTTGTCTGCGAAAATTACAACTCACCTACAAATAGGGATGTTGCACCACAGAGTGGAGAAATCACCAATTGCGAGACTTCATCTACTGAAAGTTTCTCAGCAGTGAATTTTATTATATCTTTAGATTTCTCTTCAACTTCATCCATATCTTTCCTAGAGATGAGATATTAATTAACCTTAACACTAGTACGAGGGGCAAAACACTCAACTTATAGGCTGTTTCAATTTATATTTTTTCTACATTAGGTGTGTTAAAAGGCATGACTTAATCTGAATAAAAAATAAGCAAGTGTAAAATTTTAGCAAAACTATATATTTATAAATATCCCTAATGAATCAGGCATAATAAAAAAAGGAATTCACCATTAACATGATCGTTAGAATACAATATATCTCATAGGTCAATTTATTCCAAATTCTGTAATTGCTACTCATATCTCTCATCATAGTATAATTGAGATATCACCACCTTCGTGTACACACACATCACTTCTAACCACTATGTTACCAAGCACCACACCTAGAACTGCTTATTCCTTTATCCAAAAAGGAGGAAGAGCCAAGTGATGGTGATTCTACAGGAACTGGGCTCCTTTCACAACGTGGCACAACCCCAGCTAAGTAATTGAGAAAATAAGGGAATAAACTGCACATCTGTTCACCTGGGTCCTGCAAAGTCCTTTGCCATGCATTTCTCATTTAATTCATCAAACATTATTACTTTCTTTTTTGTGTGTGTGACCGGTAAGGGAATCGCAACCCTTGGCTTGGTGTTGCCCGCACCGTGCCCAGCCAGTGAGCACACCGGCCACCCCTATGTAGGATCTGAACCTGCGGCCTCGGTGCTCCCAGCACCGCACTCTCCTGAGCGAGCCACGGGTTCGGCCCAAACATTATTACTTTCTAAGGGCCATTATTACATACTTACTAAGGGCCAGAGACTAATGCCAGGCTCTAGATATAGACTGGGGAACAAAAGCACAGGCTCCTGTCCTCAGGGTGCTTGTATTCAAAAGAGAGAAATAAAGCAATAAATGAGAATTACAAATAGAGATAATTATGGAAGTAAACTGGTTCAGAGACAGAACACTGGGGAACCGGCTATTTGAGATAAGAGAATCACAAGGATCTCTTTCAAGAGGAAATGTTAAAAGTTGACACTTGATAGATAAGAAGGCAGTCACGTAAAGAAACGGGGACAGAGAGGAAGTGGCAATGCAAAGCCTCTGGGGCCAGAAAGAGCATGATGTGCTCCAGAACCTACTGGAGGCAGAAGGCCTGAGCCCAGAGAACAAGGGAGAGAACAGGATGGACTGAGCTAGACAGGCAGATAGGACCTTGCAGGCCCTGAGGAGTAGAATTAATTATAAATTCTGTGAGGTTTCACCTGAATTGAAAGATTAGAGAAAGAAGGTTCAGAGAACTTAAGGACTGAAATTCCAACCAAGGAATCTTAATAAATCCAGTGTTCTTTCCCCTGTCTCCTTCCAACTACTGAAAAGAGAAGCACAATCATTCATATACCACTGGATTCCAGGATTTTTCACCAACTGTACATGCCACCTGAGCTTCTACCACTTTTATTTCTTGCAATAAGACACAGGTAATCCACACTGGTCAATAAGCTTCAAACCATACTGATTTCCCACAACTTTTGATTCTACAAGACTACTAAAACCTAGTTGGTAGGTTATAAAATTACACAATCCCAATCCTGTCAAATACAGTCAAATAAACAATGTTGTTGAGTAATCTTTCTTATCTTTCCAAAGAACGGCTGTAATCATCACTAACAAACACACTCTTTAATGGCAGCCCATTGTTTTCTGAATAAATTCCAAACTCTAAAAAACAGCATTTTAGAACCTACTAAAATCATGGTGATCTTGTTACAACAGTTTCCAAATAAAATTGAGATACCTATCTAACAAGGAATTCTTCTACTATTTCCACATTGTAGCCCTGAGAAAGATCCCTAAATGTCAACATGCTGGGCAATCTGCGTGTGGCACTACTGCTAGGCTATGGCTAATGTCTATCCACCCTTTCAGGGTCCTCGCAGTACAATCTATGTTCAATGATATAGGGTGACCCCCACTTTCATAACATACGCAATTCGCTTCTGTGAAACTGCTTGCTGTGTGACAAGGTAGACTGACTGAGTTTAAATAGTGTTTGAATTGCTTAAAAAATGTTATTGTTTAAAAAATCTCCCTCAGCTCTTTAGCCTCCTTAATAGAAGTTAAAAGCTATATTAGCTGGCACTTAGAGAAGTTTGAATTTTCTTTGCTGTTCCCCACCCAAGCTGCCCCTGAGCAATTAACTGGCTTGTTTCGGCTTGTTTCAGCTTGCGCTAGGCCTCCCCAAACTCCCTCCTCATGCCAGGAGAGTATGTGTGTGACTATATGCTAACTATAAGTGTGTGACTATTTGATAATTTCAACTGTGTGACTAATGTAAAAATGTGCCATTTAAAAAACCCTATAAGCTTCAAGTCAAGGCTGCTCTCTTCTAAGACTTTCTTGGAGGGACAGTCGCCAGCTGGCCAATAAAGACCCCCTTTTAAATTCTCAATTGGGTATTCTGGTTCCTTTTCCATGCAGCAGCCTCACAACATCAGGGCCTTCCGTGATGTTCCCTTAGCGAGGATAAATGACCCTTACATTTACATATTACACATTCCATCCCAGTCCCAAAAGTCTTTAGCTTGTTGCAGCACCAACTTAAAAGTCCAAAGTCTCATATGAGACCAAAAGCAAAACTCCTTCCAGTCGTGAACCTGTAAATAGTCAAAAACAAGTTTATCTACTTCCAAGATACAGTGGCACAGACATTGGGTACATACTCCCATTCCAGAAGGGAGGAATAGAAAGGAAAAACAGGCCCCAAACAAATCCGAAACCCAAACAGCACAAACATTAAGCACATTGGGGCACCTGGGCCCCTAAAGCATTGAGCAACCTTGCTCCTACAGCTCCACCAAGTGCAGCCCATTGAGCTGCCCTGGTGCCTGCAGCTTTTCCAAGCTGGCACTGCACACTGCCATCAGGCCCACATTTCTGGGCTCCTGGTGGCAGTCCCGCCATCCTGGCTCCACTAGACATTTCCTCAGTGGGGGTTCTCTGTGGGGGCTCCAACCCCACTTTTCTGCTCCACACTGCTCTGTAGATGACCTCCACAGCAGATCCACCCCTACAGTAGGTCTCCGCCTGAGTGCCCCATTTTTTTCATACATCTTCCAAACTCTAGGTGGAGGCTGCCATGTCTCCACTGCTCTCACACACTGCTGGCCTGCAAACAACACAATGTGAACGCCACCAAGGTTTTTGGCTTTTGCTCTTCTGAGGTGCTGAGGCAGGATTGCTCCAGCCAGAGTGGCTGGGATGCAGGGAGCAGTTTGCCGAGGGCAATGACACCTCAGGTCTGTCTAATGGGACAACTCAGTCCTTCCAGGATGGGAGGGGCACTCTCCCAAACTTCTCAAATGCTCTCAGGGCCTGTGATGGGTGGGGCACCCTTCCAGACTTCTCAAATGCCTTTAGGTCATTTTTCTCTCATTGTCCTGGTTCTTAGCATCTGGCTGCCTCACCACCAAGATAATGTCCTTAGAAACCAGTTTATCTGCTTCACCCTTGCATTTTTCTCTGGCTCTCCACTTCTCTTTTACATTCTGGCTTTTGAATTACTTCAATCAGCTCGGATTACAGCAGCTACTCACTCAGTCTCAGGCAGTTTTGCAGCATTCACCCACACAGTTCAAACAGCTGCATTTGCCCAGTCCATCAAGGAGTAGCCGCCCTGCCCCTGTGCACATCCATGGCCATTCTGCAGCCACTGCCTCAGAGACAGGCATGTAGTAACAGAGACTAACTTTTTCACCTTTTCACCAGGTGAAAACATACTTGAAATTCTACAGGGGCACCCATCCTTGGGTCATCTGCCCATCTGCATGTGGCACTCTTTTCTCGGGTTTTATGGCACCCGGCTAGCCATTGGGTTTAAGTGGCACCCTTCAAGCCATTTGCTTTCAGACAAACGCAACATGCATTTACGACATAGTCTCTAGAGCACATTACACCATCCACCCCTAGCTCTCATAGCTGTAGCAGCCAGTGGCTCTTCCTGTTTCTGCTGCTTTACTGTCTCAATTTCTCGTGCACAACAGGTCATGCCTGGAGATGCACAGTTTTCCCCAACTCACCACTGAATTGGTCATCTTCCCTGGTGTGAGAGGCAGGAGTGGCCAGTCGCTGCACGTCGTCCTCCAGGACATTTATCTGTACTTCCAACAACTCTGCTTTCTGCCGCAAACCTCAATCAGTTTGCAGCACAGTGATCAGCAGCCAGGCTCCGGTCAGCAGAAAAGTGGCCACCAGGCACCACATACTCAAGGACATCCATTTCCTCCCCGTCCCAAGGGGTTCTGCATTGTAGTACCTGGTCTATGCTGCCTTGAAGTACAGTGTGCAGCAACCAGATCCCGGTCAACAGGAACGTGGCCATAGGGCAGAGCATATTCACAAGTAGCCATATTTCCTCCTTCTTCCAAGGGCTTTCAGCTCCTATACCTGCTCAGAATCCTGCCAACTACACCAAACGTGGAGCTACTGCTAAGCTAATGTCTAGAATCCTGCTCACAGTGCCAACTGTCTAGCTCTTAATCCTGTTTGTGATGCCAATTGTAAAGCTACTGGACCATGCCAGTCGTCGGGCTCTTTTACCTACCGGCAATCCTGCACTGACTTGGCTGACTGTCAAGCTAAGGCTGGGTCTAGAGCTCCCAGACCCCTCAAGCCCATTCACAGACTGGGTCACAAACCCTTCACATGCCAGGCTGGGTCACCAGACCTCTTCACACAGGTCTATGAGCTAGGTAACCGGTCAAAAGGTCCCTGGAGCCATAAGTTGGAAGGCATGGCTGTGCAGGGCAGATGCCTGAGGCTGACGCCCGCCCGCCAACTTCACTGAAACTTCTCTCTCTCTCTCTCCCCCCCCTGCACCCCAAGAACACAATAGCAACAAAACTAAAAAGATACATTGGCGCGCATGTGCACTAACTCCACACACACACACACACACACACACACACACACACAATTTGCTTACAATGGATGTGCTAAACCACACCCAACCAGACCCAAGACAAAGGCCCTGACCAAACTATTCTATTTTCCCAACACTGCTTTATAGAAATAGTCTTCATTTTTTGTCACACTGCCTTTCAGAAGAGTGGGTGAAAAAATGGGTAAAAAAAGGTAAACAGGCTCCAAGTCTGTTCCTTTCTTTAATGGCCCCCCAATTTTTCCATTAAGCATTGTTGGGCTACGCCCGGGCCGCCAGCCATTTTGGGAAAGTACCTCAGCCATTTTAAACTTGCTTCGGGCTGATTCTGGGAAACCAAAACCTAAGCGGAGAACTCAAAACTTAAAAGAACTAACTTCCGGGGTACGGTGACTCTGCACTTTTTTCCCGCCTGCCCTGTCCTCACCCCTCCTCCCGGGTAGCAGTGTGTCAACTCCCTATTGGATAAGAGCTCCCCCGCCCCTGGTACCTTATAAAAACCCCTGCTTGCTGTAATAAACAGAGTTCCGGCTTTGACCGCTCTCCTGGCTCGGTGTTCTTTCTTTGTCCCCGGGGCGAAGCGCAGAGGGGATCGGGCCTGCGACACTCATCATCCCGCTCAGCCCCACAAGAGGTTACCGCCGGCTGGTCCGGGGTCCCTTCCCGCCCTGTGTTGTTGGTTCCCGGTGGCGAGGAACCAACAAAGCATAATATTTACTCCTGGTTTTTTATAAAAAATCTTATCAAATTAAGCAAGTTTTCTTTCATTCCTAACTTACCATGGGTTTTTAATCAGGAATGACTGTTAATTTTTACATTACTTATGTTAGGTCCCTGGAACTGAGAGCTTGACTTTTAGAAAGTTCCTGTCCTTCAGTTTCATTTCTCTAAATTTCTGTTTCCCTAAGTTTCTGTTTACATGAGTAGGCTCAACAGGCTGTAACCAGAGTGGAATACTGTAACCATTTCCCTCTCTTAGGCCGGATGTTAATTTTAACCCTACAAAAGAAGACATGCAACTGCCTCCCTGCGCTGACACCATTTTTTGGCTCAGCCCAGCAGGTCCGCTTGCTGCTTGCTAATAAAATCTTTTCTTTTCCTTTGCCCGGCTGGCATCTCTGTCCTTGGTAACCTTACAACTTATTCTTCATTTAACAATAAACTTAGCCTCGTTTTGTCTGTCTGCACTTGAGAAGCATAATCTGTCCAAACTATACTGAAAAATGTTCTTACACATTATCTTACACATTATTAGGCCTACTCAAATGTGGCCTAAATTGCTTGGAAAGAGGGCAAGATGACATGGGTCACAGAGCCACCTGCAACACAGCCATAATAATAAAGCTGTTCTTTTATACCTGGACAATGGTAAGCTTCTTTTCAGATAGTGATCTTGTGACTTGCTAGCTGTACAATTTTTCTACATTTCTCTGTGCCCAGAAGAGCTATTATCTACTGTTATTAAACACACTTGTGAAAAAGTATACAGAGTACAATACTATGAGTTCAAGTGTTGGCTCTGCCACTTATTAGCTATGTGATCAAAGACAAGTTTGTTAACCTCTCTGAATTCCAGTTTTCTCACTTGCAAAACATGGCTATCAATACTCCACTACCTAGCACTATGCATGAAACATAGTAAAAATCTCATTAAACCATGTTAAATGAATAGAATGAACATATCAAACTGCTTACAATGGAGTTGATGCAGAAATAGTAGGCAGGTATTCATAAGTCTGTGTGCGCCAATAAAGGTGCAGACTTACAAAGAATATACAACAGCAAATCATGTACAAGTTATCATCTATAAAATCCTTTTTCACAAGACTGGTTAAGAACAACAAATCTCACATACCCAGTTGGCTCAAAAGCACTACCCTCCACTAATGGGGGGGATAATGGCAATTTCGTCTCCTGGTTGAAGCAGGAGGAGCTGATCTCCAAGCTCCACATATTCTTGACGAACAGCAAATATCACCTGATTTCTAACATCAGCCAACCTAAAGGGAAAAAAGTATGACTAGAAGTATCAAAGCTGTGATAGATCTCAAATCTCTTCAGCTGCAATTAAAGATATTACATAAATATTACTGTATTAAGTATCACCTGCAAAGTTACTAATTAAGTTAACTCATACTCTGTGGAGAAAAGACATAACCACTGAAGAACACACTTATTCATAGCAAATAACACATTAAACTGCTAACAACTCTTTGTTGGATGTCATGTGTCTAGGGGAACTGAAGAAACAAAAACTAGACTGGAGGCAACATTTAAGCCCGGCTAAAAGAAAAGAAAAATTCCCCCGGCCAAAAGAAAAGAAAAATTTCCTAATCAGTACATGGCCTTAGCAGGGGCCTTCCAGCTACACAGAGGACACCAAGTATAGCTAGAAGTTTCCCACAAAACCAGGTCTCTCCCTGCAGGTAAAAGCTTAACAGTAAGGTAAAACAGAGGCCCCACCATGTTTCATTGATTATCAGGCTCTTTAAAAGCAATTTAAAATATATGAAACCAAGGAGTAGTTTCCTTTTGAACATATGTTGTGGTGTATCTTTCACATAGCACTAGGACCTCCAGGTTAAACATCAATACAGACTTAAGTTACACTATTAATATTCCTGGAACACCCTCAAATAAGTCACTTTAATATTTTGTTCCAAAAAAGACTTGAGTTAGGAATGACAGCAGTAAAATTACAGATTTTCAAGATTTGGGGGAAAAAAAATCAAATACCTATTGTAAAAATTCAAATTAGGCAGCATCTAAAGTTTGTTGCAGCTCATTTTTCTTTTAATATTAAAAATTTCTATTTTATGTTCTCTACAGAGGGGGGCAGGACAAAAAAGTTTGAAGCACACATTTTTAACAGATTTTGTAACAATTTCATTTAATGTTATAAAAGTGTAGAATATACATTATCAGTATTTCGTAAATTATGAAAGAAGATATACCAGTAATAATGTCCCTCTGAGAGTATTCAAGCTCACCATGTTTTTTAGGTAAAATATCTTTAACTGTCCTTAAGGAATTGCACATTTTGAAATACTGAAGTTTTCAGGAGTAGTTCCAGAAAAATACAACTAATGACCCTTTTGCCATTAAGCATGGAAATTAAAATTAACTTTTTAAAAAATTTTATCATTTACACATTTTTAGAATATTTAAAAGTGTTAATTATACGTTAATTAATTCTAAGTGTTATTTTTAAGTGTTAATTAATTCTAGTTAAAAATCTAGAAATTTTTAACTACCCAGGATGTCGCGTTTCTATCTCTTTCCACAGCTGCAATGCTTTTATTTCCTGTGGCACAAAAATGGTCTCTGAACGAACTCCTGCTATTTCAGCACTTTTTGCAAAATATAATACTTCAACCTGAAAATAGAGAAAATGCTTTTAATAATAGCCTTTGCTGAATATCCACGCTGAGTTTTCTCATTTTGCAAACGTATGACTTTAATCAAAGACAAATTTTATTAGAGAAAATTAAATTGCCCATAAAAAAATTTCAGTATATCTACAAGTTTAAATTTTGAGAAATTTTCACTTTTTAAACACAACTCAGGCTAATTTCGAGATGCTTTTTAGTTTTAGAGACCTAAGTGTGATATGATTAAAATCCTAAGCATATCTTGTTAGAAAACATGTTCAGTCTGTCTTCAATTGATATAAAATTATAGCACCTTTAATAAACACTTAAGCAGTGAACAAATGTCTGAGTCAAGAAACGAATTATACAATAAAATGACAAAAGCAGCGAAAGGTGAGTCTTTCGCAATTGTCAAATGACCTTTGATTCCCGTCTGCATTACGCTGGACCAAGTCGCCAAGGATTAAGTTATGCAACACACAAAACCTGACATACAAGCAGGTGGATCTGAAATGCAGGATAAACGGGCGTGTCCTAGGCCAAACCTCTGCCATCAGCCTGGTAGCTGAGGGGTCCGACTGAGTAAAACGGCCTACCTGTCACTCAGTACAAATTATTCTCTAAGAAATAACCAAAGGTTTGCAAATAATCAAGGGTTTGTAAATCCATAGGTGAACACATTTCTTCACCAGATTCTTAACCAAGTGCATTTCTTTTTACATTAAAATTTTATCATCGCTAAAAAGAGTAAACGGAGAAAAAGGGCACCAAAAAAGGCCGAGGCTTCTTCAGAAGCAAGCCCGTCTTCGATGCCGTGACACGGACCCCAAGAGTTCACGAGTGGCGTGACCTTTGCTGGCGCGGCCTGAGCAAAGCTCCGAGGCCAGGAGGGGTCACAGCCCCGGACAGAAGGCGCCGGCCAGGGGGATGAAGTGGGGGAAGGTCCGACTGACCAGGGCCGGGTCTGTGGAGGGAGCGGGCGGGACAGACACGTCCCGGAGGGCTCCGCACCAAGGCTCGCTCGCACATCCACCCTCCTTACCTGGCACCGCGGCACCATCCCGCAGGGGACCCGTGGACAGAGCTCCCACCGCGTAGGCAGAGGCGCCCGGCCGACCCAGGGCGCAGGCGCAACCTGACCCCCCGCCCCACCCCCACCGCGCCCGCACGGAGCATGCGCACAGCCAGCTCCGCCCTGCTGCCCCCCGGCCTGGCTGTTTCCGGGGCTGACTGCTCCACTAGGAGGTTAGTTTTCTCTCAGCTGGGTCACGTTGGTGAGATCGCGCAGTAGGAGTGGAAATGGGGAAGAGCCTGAGCGTGCGTGCCCTTCTGCCCAGGAGGGAGGTCGTGCTGCAGGAGGGCAGAAGCCGGGCTTCCCGGGACACTTGCCACCTGCGTTATGGAGACGTAGCTAATAACTCAGCAGGAGAGTTCAGGCTTTTCCACTCACTGACTTTTAGGCTTCTCTCTTTGTCACTTTCATCTACCCCACCATCCGGCACATGGTTATGGTTCTTTAAAGACGGAGTATTCGCCTTATCAGAGCATTCGAACTGTATCAAATTGACACGTTGCTTTTTTACTAGCTGCTTGGTAATTTGTCCACATGCTATCCATCCAACACTCCCAACTTCCTACCATCCAGGACTCTGCTGTAAATTGCTTGCGCAGCTTGTGGATTAAGTTAGGCGTCCCTCCCCTTGGAGTTCACAGTCCTGGATCGGAGAGAGTCATAGGCATTAATGGTAACTCCGTATACCTTAGTGTAATACCAGGGATATATGTTACATCTCTCGGGGGTGGAACCTGGGGAGTGTGCTCTAGGAAACCACACCTAGGAGATGCTTGAGTTGAATCTGCTAGAATAGTAGCAGGAAAAAACTATTGCCCTGAGCTTTGCTCTGGACCAGTCTGCTTTTGCTTTGTCTGGACCACTTCCACCTCTTGATAGGCATTCCTTTAATTTTGCTTTGACTTCAGGATCTACTGGTAAAGCCATGATTCATCTCCTTTACAGTTCTTTGAAGAAATGCTTCAGGAGAATTTGGCTCTTGGCTGCAGCTGATCTGGGCGTGACAGTTTGGGCGCTCATCAAGCGGAAAGTTTGCTCAACTTTAATTTTTCGGTCAGAATTGTGTAAGCTGAACCAATTGGGGTGTCTATGGTGTTGGCTTTTGTTTCTGCTGTTATTCGTCGGTCTTCTTTAATTACGATGTGAGTAAGATGATTTTTTTCCTCGCAAATTGATGTGGATAGTGTGCTGCTGCGGGCCTCATCTTCAACCTGGTCTCATCCCTTGTTAAATCTAGTAATCCATCTGTACACGGATGATTTGTTTGGGGGGTCATTGTCCTCATAAATTTTTCCTAAAGCATCAATGATTCGACCATTCTTCCACCCACGCTTCATCATAAATTTGGTGTTTGTTCCTGCTTCAGTTTTAGCAGAATTCATGTTGCTCAGACAGGGATTCTTTCCGAACTGTTGTCTTACCCTTCTTCGTGTCTCAAAGTTGATCCTGTTCAGACACGTTATAACAAGTTAGTACGAGTTTATTTTGGTGCAAGAAGTTTTTGAAATCCATGCATGGCTTTTTCATAATACGCATTTTCCACGAACTTTTTGAAGACCCCTCGTATATTGATAATATTGCCTCATTTTCATTTGTATTTTCTAATTATTAATTAGGTGAATCTTTTTATGTTATTAGCCACTTATACTCCTCTGCGAAGTTTTTTGTTCACATCTTTTACTCATTACACATTACATATGAAACAATTTTTTAAAAATAGCCTTCCCTATAATTTGTGGGTATGCAGGAAAGACTGATACCAGAAAATTCCCAGCTGATTCCAAAGGCTTTGATTTTATTTTTATTATAAATTCCTTAATTAAATCAGTGAATGATCAGAGTAAAATATAATAAATTATTTTAGGAACAAAAAAACATTAGGAGCAGTATTTGCATTTTACTTAAGCTACAATGGTAAAAACGTAGTTGGAGACATCATTTTCCCACTTATTTTTACCGTAAGAAATCTTACTAGGTTAAAAAAAGTAAGTTGAGGCAAAAATACTTCCATTTTATTTTCAGATTGAAATAAAATGGGATTCTGCGGGACTAGAAATACAGGAGCAAGTCAGACCTTCACAGAAGGTTCCATTAAAATATCAGGAAAGTAACTTTGCTTATAGTAAGAAATTATCAAAAATATTAATTCCATTTTTTGAAAAATAATTTTACCAGACATGGTTGGCAGAATTAGCATTCATTGTTAGATTTTCTGTCAATTGTTTCACAGGTAGGTAATGGTTTTTGTTTTGTTTTGTTTTCCCTACCCAACTAAAATAGTATAATTAAATACTTGCCACCATTGACTCGGCTTTTACATGTTACAGTTCAGCCTCTGGTTGAACTGAGCCTAAAATGGAAATTTTTAAAATTATATATCTATTTCTAAAAGTCAACTCATCCATCCATTTACACTTTACAGACTTTTAAAAATCTAAATATTTTATATTATCTTACCAAATTTTAATTATATCCTACTTCCATTTTCTGTCCACATATTTTCTGCTGTCATTTTCAGCTAGTAATAGTATCTAGTCCTAGGTATTTTAGTGATCTATTATCAGGAACTCTGTAAAATGCTACTTAGCTTCAGTGACTTTATTTAAGCAGGTTGGGCCTATAAACATGTGCTCTGTTAAAACATAAAGGAAATGATTTTCAAATATGTCGACATGTACCCCTTTATTTTTTAAGTATTGCAGAATTTGTGAACAGTGTCTAAGTATCTCCGAGGAAGTTTAGACTGTGTGGTGTGATATCTATAGACATTGGATTAGTGCCTTTATGGTATTCTTAGTGGTATTTAAATTTCTCATTAAGAAATAGATGATGCTGTAGTTATTTTTTGAAAGACCAGTTCTATATAAACTCATGTGGAATTACTCATTTTAACAGATCACCCAGAATTTCAAATACCTTTCTGTACAACTGAATTGTAAAGACATAGAGTTTGTAGCATGCTACTAAAAAACAGCCCAGCAGAGTGCCACACATCTTGTAGGTGTACAAAATATTATTGAGTCAGTTTTGTGATTGAATGAGATTATTTAAAAATATTACATCCTTCTTGTGTAATTTTATTAATTGGTCGTTTTAAATAAAAACAAAACCCAGCATATAGGATATACACTTGTTTATTCAAGGCAATTTAGGTCACAAGAAGCACTCCCCCTTGTGGTTGTTTATTTCAATTGCAAATTCTTCACTTTAACAATGAAAGAATTAGCTAAAGAGATTTCTGCAAATATGTTCTTCACTGATCATTTTCTTAAACAAGTGTGCAATCTCCCAGTTTCATATGGCAGAGGAAAGCCAGATCTCAAAATTTTATTCTTCCAAAAATCTAAGATATGCACAACAAAGAGATTTTTTTAAAAAGAAAAAAAGGGCCGAGCCCCTGGCGCACTCGGGAGAGTGCGGCGCTGGGAGCGCAGCAGTACTCTCGCCGCGGGTTCGGATCCTATATAGGGATGACTGGTGCTCTCATAGCGCTCACTAGCTGAGCGCGGTGCGGCCGGTCTCAAAAAGGACAAAAAAAAAGAAAAGAAAAATACAACACATGGGAGTTGTTAACCAATAAAAACCAAAGCTCTTTTAAGGAACATACTGTGGGCTATAGAAAGCTCCTAACACTGACTTTTCAGAAGTGTTATGGAGGAGAGTTGAGGAAAACAAAAACCTGAAAAATTTCACCAAAGGGCAGTTGGTGAAGAAGAAATCTTCATAGAAATAGAAGACCCACCCCTTTCAGAAATAAAGAGAAGACCTGAGGCAGTTGCAGGTGAGGGCAGAGGCTGAGCCCAGAGCCCTTGGTGGACAGCCCAGGAAAAGTCCTCCTAGTATCAAAAGTGCTCAATAAGGAAGCCAAACCCACCGTTCACAAAACTTTCATCTCTTTGGTAGTAGAAATGACTGATGCCTAAATGCAGGGT